CATGACAAGTAGTTCTTTGTAGCAGCTGGCTTCTCATGTGCCCAGCTCAGATTTACTGCTCTGTTAGAGCAATGTCTAGGGTAGTATGAACCCAGTTGCAGCTGATTAAAGATATTTGCACATACAGAATTAATTCAGAAATTGCTCCAGAGGTTATGCCCCACTGTGCTCAGAAGTTATTTTACATCAGGGTGACTTAAGTCATGAGGAACAACTGTGTGAGCGTGACTTGGCTCAGAGATGCCTTGGGGATATTCTGGACATCTCTCCATCCTGCTGTGTGCCCTGTCATGTCCACCAGTCCTGTTCATGGGTCCCACACACCAGATATCACCATTCAAGCACTGGAGAGCTGCTAAATTCTGCCTTTCGTGTCTGCAAACATTCACAGTTAATATGTCTACCAAGCGTATGGGGAATCATTTTTCAGCAAGCCCTGTGTTATATCCAGCCATTATACTTGCGTGTGACCCCGCACTAGCCTCTTAAATTCTCTTGTCCTCTAGACAGAGGCAAAGATGAATTCCTGGTACACAGAAAACACATACCCCACATCATCCTGTTCACACAACAAGCTGGATGGCATGAACCAGCTTTTTCTTGGAGCTCATCCACAGCAAAACAAGAGATCAAGGAGAGAAAACCCATGACTCCTGGTAGGGGCACCCTAGGCAGCCAGGAGCATCTCACTTCAAAGGTGCTGCCAGACAAAAGGGCTTCAAAAATCTGAGCCAGGGCCCCACAACGGGTTGGCTGCTGTCCTGAGAGCCCTCGGGGAGTGGCCACACTGCAGAGCAGGGTGACTGTCACTGTGTACTTCATTTGAGTGTTTTGTCATGCCCAAGGAGATGTTTTTCCTTTTATTGTTCCTGCAGAACACTGACACACAGAGCAGAAACTTTTCATTCTGAGTTCTCATTTTGCTGGAAGCTCCAAACAGTAGCATCCATCAGTGAAAATGCTGCTTTTCTTTCCTGTTGGTCCCTGAGGAGATTACACCCAGACCAGCCAATATTTTAGATCTACAGCAGTTGATTTTGCATGATGGTCCCTTCTGGCCCCAAATTCCTACTTATCTGCCAGAATGTGACCAGCCCAGCCCAGAGCAAATTCAAAAGAACAAGCAAACAAACCAAAAAAATAAAAACACCCAACAAAATAAGCCTCACTATACACTGTCCTTATGAAGAACTGCTCAGCTCTTACTGTATAACACAAGGAGTGTGATGCACTTGATCATGCAAAGAATTTATTCAGAAAATTGGTTTGCTGTCAAGTTTATCTTTTTAAATGTGAGCAAACTTTTTTTTTTACTGACAATCTCATTTGGATATTATCTTTTCAGTGAAATCTCAGCAAAGCTTTCCATATGTCACCATAAATCTTAGGACAGTTTCCTTTATAGTAAAACCTTTGTCACAGAGTATTTGCAAAACTGTTGTAATCAATATTGCAGAAATGTATGGAGGATAAAGCAAGCAATACATTGTAAAGCACAAATCACAAAAACTTTTCCCATCTTACTGAATGCCGCCTGAAGCATATTGCAAAACTGTATGGATGGCACAGTGAAGGTCAGGCATGTTCACGTGAACATTCTAAATACAGAAAGTGCTGTCAGAGGTGGTTACTTGTTGAAGTCTGTCTCCCCTGTTCCTTGGTCAGACACCTGCACTCACTTAGTTTGATGGAACAGCCGGAGTTACCTTTCTGATCAACAGCAGCACCACACATCTCCCTCCATCTTTAGAGTTTGCACCAGCAGATCTATTCTTTGCTGTGGCACCAGGTTCCTTCCTCACCTCCATTTTCTCCCATTTATTCCCATTGTGCTGCTAATGAGACACCTTTTTCCTGACCTGTGGCCTCCTGACTGCCTCATGCAGCCTGTGTGATGTTAAATGAAATAAGGCACAGCAGCAAGCCAGCAATCAAACTACTGAAATCAACCTGTGCAAGCTAGGTGGGCTTTATTAACAACTTTTTATTCTGGGCAGGACAGGAAGGAAGGCAGAAGAGGGGAGCTATCACCACTGATGCTTGCCAAGGTCAGAGCTATATGCTAGAGATGGTTTACTGAAAGTAAGTGTGGAAGAAAAAACCTGTGTCTTTGCAGCTATAGTAATAAAGCAAGAGCTGCTAGTGTTTCTTGATTTACATTATCTGTAACTAGTATCAAGATTTTCAAAGATTAACAGAGATGTCAACAGCTTTCAACATCTGGCAAGCCTAGAAATTAGGCAGCAAGAAACAAGAGCTTAGATGGTGCTGTTCTGAGGAGCTGGTGGAGGTGTTTGTAAGCCCTAATAGTTTGGGGGCAGAACTGTAACAGCATGAGATGGAATTAAAATAAATGAGCAAGAGACCATGAGAAGAGATAATTTGAGAGCTTGGAAAGGAAGGTCTGTAGAAGGGGCTGGGTTTATTTGAAGAACTCATCAAGGAGGGACTTAAAATGAAGGAGCAGGAGCAGGCTCAGTCAGTCCCAAAGGATGATTGAAACTGGAATGTAAGAGCAGTTCATGGAGATTAAAGCAGACACTGGTACTGGAGGCCAGGAACTTCTATTCATGACTTTGTTCATCTTCCAATGCTGCTTTACTACTTGCACTGTAAGGACTAATTAAGATTTTGTCCTACTACAAGAATACCTTGGTTTTTCCTACTGCCTAAGTCACATTATTAGAAACTTGGGATTATAAAACTCTAGAAGTTATTGCTAATCCATGAATGAATCTATCCAAAGTGTCATGGCTTTTTCTGCTGTGCATCACTTAAAAGTGGCAGTCACCATTTAGGCAGGAGTACTCTGCAGACTGAAAAGGGTGGATAATGGGATCCACAAAGTAATTTGACTCTTGATGGAGAACACAGGTATCCTTGGTTGGCATTCACTTGGGGCCCTACCAGACAGTGTGAGGAAGAATCCCATGGTCTATAGGTCCTGAGCAGCACAGGAGTAGCAGGCACAGATAACAAGAAGGGCATACTTGGAGAAAATCTGTCCTCTTGTGTGAAAGCAATGCCATGGTAACATGCAGTGAAAGCTTAGATTAAATGCATCTACTTCATGGCAGATACCTCACTAAGCCAATGAAAGATGTGATCCTTGCTGCAAATCACTTCTGTAGGTAGATAAAACTTCTGCCTTCTGTTAGAAATGTCCTAGTGTGAACTGTTCATGACAGAACAGTGTCCTTCAATCCCTGTTTTCTTGGAAACGGGATGACTTTTGGGGAGGGTTTTTTCTTTCTCATTTTACTATGATATTTGTTTCTGTAGAAGCCATCCACATACTGGATGGCTGCAGCTCATCCTGGACATCCCTCTGATGCATCATCTTGAAAAGCATCATAGCATGGGGGATTAAAAGCATTTATAATACAGTTCCTGCAGACATGTGTGTGGGGCTAAAAGTGGCAACTTTTTCTTTTTTGGTTCTCATGTGATTCTAGAAATGAAGTAGTTTTAATTGCTTCACAGTCCTAAGGCAAAGTCTCCATTAGCCATAGCTACTATAGCTTAAAGATGGTAATAGCAAGCACTTGAATAGCAGCTTTTGTCTTCAAAGTACTTCACAGACATTCTTTGCTTCTGAATTAAGGATCAGTTTCTGTCCCTTTTAACACTTTTCTAATGAGATAAATGTTCAATCTGCTGTGAGAAAGGGACAAAGCTCCTGACTTAAAATTCTACACTGAAATAGGGCTGTGTTCTGCTGGTTTGTTTTCATGGTGTAAAGTGCCCCCAGAGGACATATGGCTGGTATCACCTCTGCTGATGGAAATCTTCAGACTCTAAAATCAGGTGCCTGTAAAACTTCTGTCTTCAAACAGCTGTTGTAGGAGGTGGGCTTCTACCCAGTGCTTGTTCAGCCCTGTTCTCTGCACACAGTGTGAGGGGCCGGGGACTTGAGCTGGCATACACATGAGCTCCTGGCTCTGGAGAAGGCTAGGGATGCATGTGCACCAGCAGCTTAGCCCCTGTGTGGTGAGGAGCCATTGTAAGACATCTCTTGTCCAGCCTTGAAGAGCAAGCTCCATTTCAGGGAGCTGCTGTGCCCTGGGTCGGGGGAACATTCACTGCAGAAGATGAAGCCATGCAGCATTCTTATCATTTCCTATCAGTGCCTAGTAACCAGTTACTCACAGGAAAATCGGTCCAGTTGACAGAGGCTGGGGCCCCCAAGCTGGAAACGTCTCTGAGTGACCAAGTCTGAAGGAAGAGAAGGCTCTGTTGTGTCATTGGTATCCGTGACAAAACACCCATTGACTTGGATGAGAGTATGAGTGTGCCCAACAGTGCTGACTTCTGATGTCATCTCTCTGGTTTATTTTTTTTTGCAAAGACCCTTTTGTGCTTGCTCTGTATTCTGAATATTCAGGTCATTCCTATGTATAGAACCCCCATTTGTAATTAGATTGTGGGGTTTGTTGACCCTATTATGTTCAGGTTGCCTAGCAAGTCACACTGATCCTTCAGTATAGGACTTAATGAAAGCCACAAGAGGAGGAGGAGGGTTGCTATTGTTCTGCCCTCAGTGCTGCCAAACAGTCCCTTGTTTTTTCTGTGGCTGTGTGTTCAAACTCTGTGTGAACCAATGGGGCGCAGTCAGGAGGCTGGCAAGAGGGCAGCGACAGGGTTAGCTGGATCCTAGCTAGAAATACTTGTGCAAGTCAGGAAGCAGGCATGGAGTGAAGGAAATTAAGTGGAGACATCTGTGTGGCTTAGCTTTTAGCAGCTCTGCCTGGGGTAGAGGTGCGAGAGTCATGCCTAGGATGACTCTTTCTTGGGTTTTTGTCTTTCCTGGGTTGGAAACAGCGGAAACTGCGAAAGCGAAGCATGGTGTGTGTCACGCATGGTCCAGGCATGCCAAGTACATAATGGAGCAGTGTCAGTGCTTTCTGTTCTGCCTTTCACACCCCAAAGTGACTCTTCAAGGCAGAGAACTGAGGAGAATATGATATGGTTCAGAAACTGATCTTGGACTTTTTTCGCAGGCGACTGAGCCAGAGGCCAACTGCTGAAGAACTGGAGCAGAGGAACATACTGAAACGTAAGTCCTGATTCTGCTGACATTTAACCTGAAGCCAGATAATTTGAGTTAGATTTCATACACATTTGGTGGTTTTTATAAACATCAACTATTCTCTGTAAGCATCACTGATAATAATTAAAACTAATAAAGGGCATCGTAAGTGCAAATAAGAGTGAAAGTCTGTAACAACATCTAGATCTGGAGAAAAAGTTCCTTAAAATTAGAGTCAGTAAAATTTACAAGAATAAACAACCTATGGAGAAAAAATCCCAGGTCTTGAATGGCATTCCAGACAGGGGGTCAGTCATCCTGAAAAGCTTCCTTTGAGATTATTATCCCATTGTAAGTTAGTAAAGACATTAGGGCGTAGCTCAAATAGCTTTCCTAAAAATCTCCACAGCAATCTATGCTAGCTGGAGCCTTTATTCAATTTAAAAAAGAATCCAGTGTGACTCAGGATTATTCCCCTGAAACTCCCCCTTTAAATCAGCCAAAAATTTGCTGGTAGATCCTCAGCCCATGTTATTTTAAAGGAACAAAATACCACTCAGAAATCCTGAACCAAGTTAGTAGATATATTGCCACTGACTTTAAGAGAAGCTGGACTGAGTCCAACTTTCATAACCTCATGAATGAACAGGAAGAAAATTACAGTTTCTTTACTTCCATGGAAGTGTTTTGAATATTAAAAAAAAAAAAAAAAAAAAAAAGCTGTTTATCTAATTGTTATTGTTACTTTGGAAACAAACAAACAAAAAAAAGTTCTTTCCATTTTAAGTTGGTAAATGCATATTTCCAGGAAAATTTTAAAAAATTACTACAGAAAAAAGTATTCCAAAATGGTACCTTATACATAATGTCTCCTTAGGTAGGTCCATAATTCACATTCTCTTATTTGAATAGCTGCATTGTATATAACCATAAAAACGTGGTAGCAGAAGATTAATTCTCTGAAAATCAGCAGAATTCATTTTTTAAATACTTCAAAATCAAATTCTTAGCTGATTAATGATAGTCTTAATGCCCAGCAGGGTCTTTTCATCTGTTGGTGTTATTACACGTGGCAGTCAGAGAAAGAGAGACACCACTAGGAATGCAAAGAGGAGAAAAGGCCGGACAGCTGAGCGGCATGGGCAAGCCTGAGGCTGCTGCACGAGCCATTTGTTTGGGACCAGCCCTCTCTCAGTAACTCTGCTCCTACTGTCTACTCCTAACTCCAGTGACTGGCTGCTAGAGGAAGTCAGGGACAGAACCTGGGGAAATATTTGGCACATCCAGCTGTGATTGTCTCAGCAGGGTGTAGCAGAACAGCTGGAGAAGGGAGGACCTGTGACGTGACTGATGTCAGGCTCAGGCACAGAGCGACAGAGGCCAATTTTCTGGCAGCTCATGTTGTCATCCTGGGACCTCTGAACAAACACATGTCAGGCACCACCTGGCACTGGTGTATGACCAGCAAACACTACCCTGGAACTGGGGGAGGTGGGCTCTTGGGCTTTGAACCAGCATCAGCAGAGAGCAGCATCTCCAATGCTGGGTGCCTTGCAGCCATTCCTTATGGTCGTGTTGCCAAGCACAGCAGTCACAGAGTGCCATAATGGTGTCTTACATTTTACAGGAATTACCCCTAGAGTAACATCAGGGTTTTTTTTAATTGAATAAAGGCTCTTAAATGACATGGATGTTAGCAAATATTACCCTGAATAAGAACTATATTGTATTTTCTAAATGGAATTTTTGTAGCTTGCTTTAGCACAGATCTGCCCCCAAACATGTGTGTCTTGTTAAACAAACAGCTTCCTAATTACAGGGAAGAGTAATGTGGTATTTCCAAGGTATTCCAACTTTTGGTGAACCACAGCAGGAAAGAAAAGAAATTAAATTTGTTAAACATGCTCTACCCCTAAACTAGTAAATATAAATATTTTCTGGTTTGTATATCATTTTGTGTCATTTCTCTAGACTTCTGAGAAGAAGCATTATAATAAATATAATGGAGTGTAGGGAAAGAGAGACTCAGGAAGAGCTAATAAAAAGAGTACAAATTCTCTGCATAAGCAGGTCAAGCAATTTGCCAAAGCCCAGCCCAGAGCATGCACAAACACAAAAGAAAACCTACCAAGCTCTCAGGTAGACTAAACAGAACTTTCTCTGCAGTTGAAGCTGAAATCTCCCTGATGAAAATTTTGTGTCTGGTACCATGATGTTCCTATTACATGAGTAACTGCATTACTGCCCGTGCTGATGGGAAAAAATGAGGCAAAACATGGGTGGACAGCCAGTCTTTATACATTAATTGAATGTTTCCTAGGTCTGTGCTACTGCAATAATTATGAATTATCTTTACAAGGGCAAAGCATCCATTACCAAGTTCTGCTTCTTGCTGATAGCAACAATGAAATCACAGCAGCCACAGCAAGGAAACAGAGCAGAGACAACTGGTTCTTGTAGGGGCTCCTTCATTGAAGTATATCCCATTCACAGACTCATATTTAGGTCAAGGGCATGGAGTGGGAAGAGTCCAGGCCTGCAGGGTTAGTTTGAAGCCTAAAGAACACTTTGCAGTTATACTTGCTGTCCAAATGTATAGGGAAAGATGCCTCGATCCCCCATCATGCACCACTCCTGTGCCACTTCACAGGTGGATAAAAGTAATCCAGTTGTCAGTCTGGCACATTCGGGTGTGCCAAAAATTATGGTTAGGTGGGTTCTGAATGCCTCAAACTGTACTGGGGGGACATCACACATCAGCACAGAAATCAGGTATGAAAATTGCACCTACATCACCCTGACACACAGGTTTAGAGAAACAAAGAATGTCCTGAACACATAAGATAAAATAAAGTGTCAGTTCTGTAGCTTCACAAGATTGTCATGACTTAACTTCAAAGAAATAGGCTAAAACAAAGTCACTTTCTAGTTTTTAAGGAGAATGTATTCCTATTTTTCAGCTTTTACCTGTCTTAAGTCTTAAGCCTGCCTGGCTGTCTCTGAAAGTGGGTGGCTGGGCTGAGAGTGAGGAGAAGAGAAAAATATCAGATGCCAAGGGCAAAAATGAATAGCCATTACTAAGTTTTATACATAACTCCTTGGCTGCTTGCAGTTCTACCCTGACTCTGTGTGGATTTTCTTTAGTTAGTGCTGTGTCTGAAAGCAAGCATTTGTAGGACCAGCTCCTCCAAATTTGAGACACAAAGGGAAGAAAAAAATTGCTAGAGGATCAATTGCTAGAAGACTATTCAACCCAGTAGGGACAAAAACCATTGAAAAAGAAAAATTACATTTATCAGTGTAGTTACTCCAGTGACTGCTTAAAAAGACAGTTGTGACTCCCTGTTGTCTTGTATACTTTTTAGTCCCCTCCTGGTTTCCTTCCTTCTGAAAATATAAGCAGTATTTTTAGTAAAATGGCACTTAAAGATCAGAAGTTTAGTGTGAAACATCATAACATTGACAGGTTCTTTGTCCACCTCAGTGGAGATTTCCCAGTCTTGATGAAGTCAGTGAGCAGTTGTGATAGCACTGTCAGCTCTACTGTCCTGAGCAGAGAGAAACTTGGTTTGCAGCCTAGCCCTCCTCACCTGCTCAGAGGCTTCTGTGGGCTCTAAACCTTAGGTCTCATGTATGTGTGGGGAAAGCCCCAGTTTTCTAGTGAGAGTGCTGGCTTGTGCTCTCACAGATGAATAAGTTATTGCTGGTTGATTTTTACTGCTGCTCTGCAGGAGATGCCTGTTCCATCTGCAGGATCAGCAGAGAGGAACGTGGAATACTCCCTTGAGTTTAGTGCAGTCCAAAGTTTAATGATTTAAATTGAGGCACCTATCCTCAGCTGGCCTCTGAGGTCCATAGTGTCCCCTGCAGAGAGTTATTCCTGCCTGAGCTAGTCCTAGCTGAGCAAAAACTGGATCCCAGCAGGGGCACAGAGTGCTTACTGGAAAAGCTGATGAGTTGTGTTTGCGCTCCCCAGTTATGTGCTGGCGTGATTGGAGTAAAGAGCATTTCAGCCATCAGTGAAGCAGTGGAGATAGATCCTAACTGATCGAGAAGCTGAGTACCTGGAAGCCTGGGATTTTAGTGACTTTTTGTAGAGGTCAATGTAAAGACAATGCATGACAGCGTGCTCATAGATTGAAGAAGGGTTAGTGTACTCAAATGTGATTGAGCTCTTGAGGGAGAAGAGTTGAGGCGTGCCCTGGTAAGAACTTGTAGCACATGATCTTTTGGCTTAATGTTGAAAGTTAATTCACCTAGGATGAGCTTTTGTGCTCCAGTATGACACTTTGAAGGTTCATGATGGAAGGACACACTCTCCTTAACTCTGCTCATGCCATGGGAAGTTGCACAATTTGCCTGGCACCTCTAGTCCAAAGGGTTTTTTTCTATTATCTCTAAAAAGTAGCTGCAAGAAATTATTCTGCAGATAAAAAAAATGCACGTATTTCTTTTCCAGCCATTGACTTTGCACAATCCAGCCCTATTGTAGCTGAGTCCGCCAGGCCTGTGGGCAGGGAGATAACATTTTTTGAAGAGTTGGCTTGCTGCCCAGCCCTTCTAGAAAGTGACACACATGAAGAGGTGCCAACACAGGGAAAGGAAGGAAGCTGTAGATGTTTTATGAGGTGTGTGAAGAAGCACAGTAGCTACGGATGGAGGACGTTCACCAGCCCCAGAGGGACATACTGTGCATCAGAGAGGTCCTGAAACATTAATACACTTACTGATGGAAAGGCTTATTTTGTTGCAAATGGTGCATACCTGATGAGTCCACAGTCTGAGATCCTTGTAAATCTTTTACAGCCCGGAATGAGCAAGAGGAGCAGGAGGAAAAACGAGAGATTAAGAGAAGATTAACACGTAAGGTGAGAAGCAACTTTGATATTACTATATCACTACTGCAACTTTCTCCCTACTCCACAGCTGTTTGCCTTTTTTCTTTTCTTCAGCACCATTTTCAAAAGTAGAGCGTGAAACAAGTCTTACAAAAATATTTAAAAGAAATCAGCAATGTTGTAGGGTGTAAGTCCACAGAAAGCAAAGGAAACCACTTTGGTAACATTTCAAACAGGAAAAAAAGAAGATCTAGTCTTCATAACTGAAGGAGTTTTGAAAAGTGAAGGATAGGGATCAGCATTTACAAGGACCAATGCTTCTTGTAAATGTAATGGCTTCTTTAGCCATTACAGAGAGCAAAGTTAAAGCAATGCTGATTTGAAAATTCCACAAAAAAAACCTTCATAAAACTGGAAGCTAAACATTTTCTGGAAAGGGAGATTGTCAATTGAGGCATTTAAACTAAATAGAGACAAGCATTTAGGAGAAAGCATATAGTGCAGAAAACAATCTTGCACTGGCAGGGAAGGACAAACAAAACAGCATCACTTGATTCAAAAGTCATTTACTCTTAAAACTGAAGAACAGTCATTTCAGATATACACATTCAGTTTTGCAGCTGACATAAATGTCTATGGATGCCCAAACATACACAGTGAACAAGCCATCCTGCTATTGCAGATTAGCTTTCTTTCTGCGCTGACATATTTCCTATCTCCAAGGTAAAGAAAGCCTTCTAAAAACTCACATACTTGTGAAGCAGCACCATTCCCTTTCTCATTTTGGCTTAGTTTTTTTGACCTATGTGATCACAGCTTTCATGGTATAAATAATAACAAGGTCTCTAAATATATGTGGAAAAGTTACATTCTGAGAACTGAATTGGTTTCTACCATGGTTAAAAATCTCATGCTTTATTCTCAGTTCATGTAAATAGGTAGAATTATTGGTCACCAGTGGGGGGATACTGCTGTTTTCTGCAGGAGATAGAGAGCCATAATGATGTTTGTAAAACACTTATATTCCTCACCACAGTGACAGGGATGAGCTTGCATTCCCTCTCAGCATTGCCTGAAAGAAAAGATCCTAACTGCATTGCAGATGTTTCATGGGATTGAGGCTCTGCTCAAGGGCTGGAAATACCATTTTACCAAGCTTTCAGTTTCCCTGTACATTGAAGGGTAAACATGTGCAGGAATTCAGTGCAGAGCTTGATGCCATTTGAGGAGCAGCTGTAATAGATACAGAGCAAAGCTCCCCACTCCCAGTGTGCCACCCAAGAAGCGAGTGCTTGCTGACTGAGCCGGCACCATCGCCACTCAGTTCCCATCCTTCACTGTCCTGTAGGAAAGGTGCGGAGCACAGGAATCATCTGTCACAGGCAGAGGCCACAGCTCAGCAAAAGCACCCAGGCTGCCTCTGCTTCACATCAGTGTCTGCTCCCTAAAACCTCAGCAGTTTTCTGGGAGATTTCTTGCTTTGTCTTGTTTGCACTTTTACGTAGGAACAACAGGGAAAGCAGCATCAGACCAAGGCCCTGGCCTTTGGCTCTTTAATGTTCATACTCCTGTTCTTGATCAGATACCCTTTAGTCATTTTTTTGGCTTCCACTCTAGTAAGGATTTTTCTCCCCTACATTTCTGACAGCAACATGACTTAACATTGTTTGATTTGGATCATCTTTCTAAACTGTTGTAAATTGTTCTAGTGACACATATAATTTTAATGAAAGAACTGCAGGGCTGATCTAACAATAGATTTTGTTCTCACCTACCAAACATACCATCATAAAAGCTCAGAAATCACTAGAGAAAAGAAGTGAATAAAGTGTGCAAGTGTTTTAGATAACAACTAGAAATGTCAACCACTGAGTGAATCCTGCAAAAATAGTTGTTATTCCCCAGCTGTATCTTTCATGAGCCTGTTCCAGATGTGTCTTTGTGTTTACAGCAGAGTGGCAAGCTCCTTCTGTCCATTTGTGCTGAAGTCTTAGTACCAAAGGATTTTAAACCCCAGATCAAGCAGAAGTTTAATTGAGCACAGCAAGTGTGTGGCCCAGCAGCCCCTTCTGTTTGCAGTGAGTTTTCAAGCACGCATGTGCCCACAGAGTAAATCCAATATGAGGAAACTCTGCCATGTTGCCTCTTTTGGAAACGTGTGAAGTTGGGATATAAGAAGGGAAGTGGGTTCTGTAGAAGCCACTGATGAGACTTTTGACCTTGCACTGCAGAAACTGCTACTGTCCCCAGTTTTTTGTTATGGCAACATGCCAATTCCAAGGGAAGAACCCACTCCATCCATAAAAAAGTTATTCTTTAAATTCCGTCAGCATTGACATTTTGTTACAGTGTTATAATGATAAGTTGTAACACGACCTGCTGTTATAAGTAAGATTACCTTGCTAGGTCTAGATGCCTTATTAAAGTCAGCAATAAATATCCAGTTGAATTCATCATCTGGACAGGCAATTTCTAAAGAAAAAAAAATATTATAAAGAAATCAGGCGACCTATAGTGAGCTGCCTCTTTTAGCATTTTCCATCCTCTCCAACTCATCTAGTTCCACATTAACTGGGGTGAGGAATAGCTACCATTCAAATAACAAAATTAAGGACATGCTGTTGGCTAAGTTTCTCAGCAGTTCGTGTCCCTCCTGCCCAAGGAAGGAGAGTGGAAGCATGTTTGCCTGTCACCTGCGATGTCCAGCCCCCCTGTCCTCTCTCCCTGCCCCTCAGGCCCACCGAGCACCTTTGGGCACAGGGACGTGCGTCATTTGAGTGGAAGGACACGCATTAGGAAGATTTTTTCTCTGAGCACTGGTCTTGACCTCCAGCTCATTCAAAGAATATTAATGTGCAGGAGCCCTCTGGAAGTGTTGCAGTTGGGTCACGTCCACAGGGAGATTCGGGCCCCCATGAATTACTACCAAGAACGTATCTTCTCTGAACCATGACAAACTTGGCCAAGGACCAAGGCAATTAACACAAGCCTGAACGTCCCCTGAGGACTTCAATTATGGAGAGAGAATCGTAGCCTGGATTAACAGAACATGTTACAAATCACTTGCAAAGTGGAATAGAACTTTTCCTATCTTCTCTCCTCTTAAATGGCACCATGCTTCCCAATCCCTAGAGCTGTTTACTGCTTCCTATCCTCCCACTTGCCAATAACTTATCTTTCTCAGAGGTCTAGTTCCAAAAAGAAATCTCTCAGAGCTGTAATACTGACTATCAAATTGAAGAGGTGTGGCTGTTTCTTAAAATCCATGCAATAATCTGAAATCTTTGCTCCTGTTAAATTCTTGCCCCTGTCCAATTTAAATGCTCTCTTCACTGGTGCCTCTCTGGGAAATGTCTCCCCTGCTTGAAGATGTTCAAGCTTTTCTTTAACTGACCTTCACTGGCTTGCATCAGCAAAGGCTGTTGAAAATAATGAACTCTTGAGAGAGGTGGGACTCATCAGAGAGAGGTGAGAGAGAGGCAGCAGGGAGGAGAAAGGTCAGAGAAGAGGAAAAGGTTAGTGGCTAATTTGGATAAACTGCATTTATACTCAAAGGGAAAGGTCTTCAGGGCATTTTCATCACATCCTGCTCCTAAGTCTTTACTGCAGAAGGTGGGGAGCAAAGGAGGGGGAGGGCTGCTGCTGGGTAGGGTTTGTAATTTTTTAGCTTGTCTTCTTTAAATAACAACTGTAACATTTTAATGAAGAAGCAGAGCAGGCAGTGATGACATGAAAGATAAGCTTCCTTGTGACTGAAGTGGGGCAAACTCAGCATTTTGCATTTGACTAAATCCCAAGATCAGACTGGCAAGAGCCAGTCCACTTTACCTGGTGAGGGTGCTTGGGTTTGCTTCATTTCACGTATTTGCTTCATTTCATGTCCCTTTGCCACGGACAAAGTGGGGTGTGTTAAACCTTCCATTTCAATTGCCTTAGTAAAAGCCTGGGAAATGCCCATCTGTATCTACAGCGCTCCAGAATATTTGACCTCCTGTGACAAGGCATGAGAGGTCCTGTCCTCATTTACTGCTCTTGCATTAATACAAATCCATTTATTTTGAAAGGGAATTTTACCCTGGTTCACACTCATATAATTAATCACTCACTATAGAATTACCCTGCTCCCTCAGCTCCCAGATCTTCACAAATAGGTAAATAGAAATGCAAATGCCCAGGTAGTGTGCACAGAAAAAGTCCAGACACACTCATGCATGTACATCCCTTTGACATTAGCTGAAGCAAATTAAAAAGGGTCATTAAGAACCCCTTCTCCCTGCTTGGAGCACCACACCTTGTGCAGACAATTGCATGGTGCCCTTGGCCATGTCCTTGTCCTGTAATTTTTGAATGTGCCCTATTCTTTCTGCCTGTTAGAAGAGCTTGTTCTCAGGTGTTGCTCAATAAGGATTCTATAGCATTAAGCTGTTTAGACCCAAGAGACCACAGCTCACAGGTCATGAAAATAAACTGCAAGGTGAGATCTCAGATGAGCTGTGCCTTCAGCACGGACACACACTGAACTGACACCTGCAGTGGGGCTGCTTATAGTCTGTCCTGCAAAGCTGATTTCCCAGCTATTCAAGAGTTAAGAGAGCTCTGGCAGCCCGAACATACTGCAAAACTCTCACACCTAGAAGGTCACAAGAAATCTCTGCAATGCTATGAGAAGAAGGCAGAGAAAGTTGTTAACCATTCAAACAATGTAGCCCTTAATTAATGGCTTTTATAAAATTACTTAGTGTGGTTGTCTCTCTCGTTACACTTAGCATGATCAGATTGGCACTTTGGTTTAATATACTGAATATATTTTGTGTGCATATATTTATATATGGAAATATATGTAGATTTATGGCTACACATTATCTATGTGATACCAAGCCATGGATTTCGGGACTCTTTCACAGCCAGAGCGCTGGCACAAAAGTCAGTGCATGTTTTTTCTATCCTCACTCCCGTTCTCCAGAGCATCTCACAAGTAGGACATTAGTGCAGCTCTGCAGACTCTCCACACGAGGTGTTTGAACCCAATTTGAGTGTGCATGCTCCAGGATGCTGGTGTAAGGAGAGCAGCCCCACTGTCACCTCCCATCACAATCATCTTTTCTAAACAGAAAAGAGAAAGACAACCAACCATGTCAAGTACAAGCACACAGGCTTACAGACTGATGCAGAATAGAGTAGTTGAGCTCCACCCGAGTGCTGAAGAAAGGAGGGATTTTTCACCCTTCACTTAGCAACCTGGCTGTTTTAAATCTTAATTCTCTCTGGAAGATGAAATGCAGGGAACTGAGATACTTTATTTGGAAGAAAGGTGGATTCAGGGGCATAAATAATGTTGCAGAATAGAATCTCAAGCATTTTATTAAATATTTAGATCCTTTACCCTTCACAAGGGTAAAGTATTTCAAACACATCTATTTCTAGTGAGTGGGAAGAGCATGATACACTGTAGGAAATTGTTATCAGGATATTACTTTTCCTGATGTATCCTGGTCACAAGTGTTCTACTCTAACAGTGAAACTGCCCAGCTAATCCACAGCCACATGCACACATTTATGTAGCACCTTCAGAAATGATTGTGTAATTGCTTTTGACATTCACCAGCGTGCTATGCATCCAAGGAGAATTGATCCCTGAAAGCCAACTGCTGTCCCTACCCATGTAACTGGCTGTGCGACTCGTGCACTATCTAATTTAAGAGGAGTTTTTCACTGTGGCTGCCTATTCTGCTGTGGAATCTGAAAGAAATGCTTGAAACAATGAAGATGCTTTCCTGACATGATAAAATCCACCATTGCCATTTCTTTTGGTTTGTAGTATGCAACATAAAATTTTGATAATCAAATATGCTGTGATACAAACCACAGCTGTCAATAGGTAAAAGTTCAGTGAGCACTAATCATCCTGCCTGCCTTTTCTGGAGGTAAGGACAGGTCTGCAGAATATCAGAATGGTAAAGAAAGTTGGTTTTCACCTTTTGCATGTAATTCAGGGCAGAAGCCACTCCATGCCTTGGTCTGACTCTTCCCAGGCAGTACAGAAGTACAGACAACAGCAGCTGTTGTCTTTTTAGAAGGCTGAAAAGTGTACAGCGTGTGGAGGTTATTTTAGAGTAGTGTTGTGGTCTTTGTCTCTTCCTGGGACACCAGTACACTAGGAGACTTTCAAAATTCACATTTCTGCTAAGGGTGATCAACCTCAGCTGGGAACTGGGGTCTCCAGCCACAGCAGCTTCACAAAGAACAGTGGCCTGCTCTTGCAGCAAGGTGAGATGGTATTCAAGGTCAAGAGTAACAAGAGTGCATTTCCCAGGTAGCAATTCCATGAAAGGCAGATAAAAACAAAGCACTGGGAATGTCCGAACCCTCTTATTACTGTAACAGCGGTTGCAGTAAAATAAATCCCCAAGCAGCACTCTGCAGGGAAAAAGCAAAGTCCTGATGTCTTTTTCCACTCCTTCCTCAAACCTGCAGCTGAGTCAAAGGCCCACAGTAGAAGAGTTACGTGAGAGGAAGATCCTCATCCGCTTCAGTGACTATGTGGAAGTGGCAGACGCGCAGGACTACGACAGGAGAGCGGACAAACCGTGGACACGACTCACAGCCGCCGACAAAGTAAGTGGAGCACCTCTGGGAGAGCCATGGCCTAAACAGCCAGAGCATGTCATGGCAAACATCCCTTGGGTCACACAGGTCCCATGGCTGTAAGGAATAAATATCTATCTCACATCCCTTTCCAACACACCTGTGGTTTTTTTCCATTCACGAGGTTTGTTTGTTTGTTTGAGGCATAAATCTTTGGCAAGAAGGTTTCAATATGCATGGAAACCAGGAGGGAAGGAATCCCAAGCCCCTTGAGGAAAGGTCTTGATGACAGCCCTAATATTTGTTTGTTGGTTTTGGTCTTACCACATTATGCTGCCAGCTGAGAGTTCTGGCAAGACTTAGCAGAGCAGTGAGACAGGAGTGTGTGCCAGAATGGCTGTGCCAAGACAGGACAGGTTTGGGTGTGAAAATGCCAGCAGATCAATTTGGCAAAGGTACCTTCATCCCTCCAAAGCCAGAGTCACTTTTCTCTATTGTGTTACTACAGGGATATTTGCTCAGGATTTCTGCCACAGAGTATTTTAAGTACTGAACCAAAATCACAAAAGACCTGCAGATAAAAAAAGGCACACTTTGGTATTGATGGCACTGCCTTCTGAGAGCTAGTGGAAATTCCACTTAATAGTGTCTCTGGTGTTGACATTGATGGCAGAGGGATTAAGTTGCTGGCAAATTATATCAGTCACATTCTGAGGGTCTTAATGGGACCTCAGGAAAAATATTTGAAAGATTTTATGGACATTGTAAGAAGCAAGGACTATGAGGCTCAGTGATTCAGTATTGAATCTTATAGTCACTCTATGATGCCCTTTTAATTTTAAAGGCTTTCAGATACCTGAATTCAAGCCTTGACTACTTCTTTGCCATGGAACTCACTCATTCAGCAATGGAGAGCATTATGTCCAATGTTTAGAGCTTTAACCATACCACTCATCTATGGAGTTACTGATTTGATTTGCAAAGGATGGCCTGTTATACTTGTATAATTCAGCCAAAGGACTTTTATAATTTTGTGACATTGTTCTCCTCCTTGATACAGGGACTTTTTGAGTTTAGTTTTGGTTATGTTAATGTAGAATAAACTGATCTGAAAAAAAAAAAAAAAAAACTTCCTCAGGACTGTCCATAGACCATAATATATACTGGGTTAAATTAGCTTTTCTCATTTTACCTCACCATGTCTGACAAGATTTTAATAAACTTACTTAGCTTTATTCGCTAAATTATTAGATGAGGGAGGGAATAAATCTCCCAACTGGTTCTACAGCCTTTGAGAGATCCCTGTCTGGAATGAAAAACATTGAGAAACTTCAGCTGGGGATGGAGATTTGATCCCTCATCCTATGTCTCTGAAAAGACCAAGCATTAAATACCACTATTAAATGTAACCTAGTAAGGAGTTTAGTATTAAGGCAGAGTACTTGTCCCTTTTTTTCTTTTTTTATAATGCATGTGCAAGTTCAGTAGTCAGAGAAAAATTAACTTTTTCTCAGCAAAGCACCATCAGAAGAAGAGATGTTGTCATTTCAATATTAATGCCTTTTATGACATAAGGAAGCAGATAGATTGAGGTTTGTTGGGTCCTGTGGGCAGTATTCTGATTTCTGTCATTCAGGTGACGTGCTTTTCCTCAACACTATGCCCACTGGCATAGTTGGAAAAAATAGCCAGACAAATTGAAACAAAGCTGCATCATCCTAGATAGGATTATTTTCTTGCAAAGCTGTGATTCAGTAGCTGTCTTCACTGGTCAGCACAGACTAGATTTACTGCAAAAACAGATTTTAGCAATGGGCTTTTCTGTTTGCCAGTAAATCTTGCTCTGTGCACTGTGTGGAGGGAGCTGCCTTCAGTCAGAGTTTGTCTTTAGCAGGTCTGACTCTTAGGGGAATGACAAGGGAATTTTGCATCTCTCCAACAGATGAGGGATGAAGGCGGGAATAGATCTCAATCCCTGTGGGAGTCAACCACCCCTGTGGCCCCTGCCACTTCAGTAGCAGATTGGTCTGCTGAGGGCAGCCCAGGAGCTGCTGCATAGCCATCACTCTGTCCTGATGGATGAGGCAGTGCCTGACAAGCACTTCTAAGGGAATTAAGAAATCAAAGCTGTGGAGAAGGAGCAGAAAGGGTCTTTTATGTACAAAAACACTTGCAAAATCTATCACTTAGGGTTTGTCAAAGCAAAGGTAGTTGCTGACTGGAGCAGTAGCAATTGTAAAAGTCCTGTTTTGGGCTTGTGCAACTTGGGCTTGATTTATTTGGCTGAGACAAATTGCTGACAGACACGAGTGCCAGTTATGGGAACACCCCCTTCCCGTATCTGATGCCGATGTTTCAGCATCACACAGAAAAGCAGTGCACACATCTCAGACCCATGGGAGCGTTTGGCCACAGCTAACACCCTGTACATCCCCTCCAGATGCTCACAGCGAAACCACTCATGAGCTACAAATATCACAGAGCTCTCAGAGGTCTTAATTCTGAGCTTGGGACTTGAGCCATTTCTGCTCAAGTCTCTACCATGCAGCTGAGTCCCTCCATGTCACCTCCTCTGTGTTTTTATTCTTCAGTATTTTTCTTCCTACCAGTGCCCCCTGTTTTTCTTCTCCCTCACAGACAAGCCACAGAGGCTGAATACCACCATGCCATGCCAAGTTTTCTGCTTGGTTAATTTGTCAAATCACTTCAATAAACAGCACAGCTGGGTCAGAAGGAAGGAGCAAGTCAGAGGGGCACAGCCCGAGGCAGAGTAGAGTGCAGGGAGCCTCTTTCCTTCCCAAGTAAATCAGTCGCTTCAAGAGCACCTCAGGAAATTCAGGACAGTAAAGGCAGAAGATATCTCAAACACAAGTCTGTCAGGATCTGGGCCCAGTCTAGTCACAGTCCAGCTCTGGAACAGATCAAAGTGTTTCACAGACTGCAGTGCCCATTTTTTTTCTCATGCTTGTGCTAATTTGGATTTTGTACATGTAAGTGTTTACATAATAAGCCAGAATTGGGTTCTGTACCTGCATTGTCTGTGATATGTTTTGAAATTGAGACATTCCACCAAAGCATTTCTCTCTTCCCTTTATGTTATTTAAAACATGCTTATCGCTGTTCCTTTTCATATTTTAAAGTCTTTATGTTTGTCTTTGTTTCTCTGATAATGTTATCTCTCTGCTTTACTTTTAATATACTGTTTTGAGAACAAAGTGAACTTATTTTGATCTCTCTCATTTATACATTTATGAGTTTCTTTGTCCTTTGCAGGCAGCCATTCGAAAAGAGCTTAATGAATTTAAAAGCTCTGAAATGGAAGTTCATGAATTAAGTAGGCATCTAACAAGGTAAGCTGAGAGATTAATTTTTTAGGACTATAAATGAATATTGTTGTTTTCAAAAGAAAATCAAAGCTGGCAGCTGTTTCTCCAACATGCACCGAACACGCCATGAGGTCTAGCCAACATTTAGAATTACAGGCTGTAAAAGCAGCTCACACAGACGAACACGTGCTGCCCCATTATGTGGAGTTATGCAGTCATGTGCCATTTAATGAAGTATAACCTGGTTTTCTTTTTAAATCATCATGCTGCATATCTGTTCTTCTGAGGCCAAACATTTTAAAAAAAGAGTTGGTGTCAGGAGGACAGGGAAGCCTTGTACAGCACGTAGCAAAGTCCGAGTGAGTGCACACTAAGCCCTGCTGTGTGTGCAGCTGTTCCACACCACTCAGGTCCCATCTCTCAGTCCTTCCATGCCTGACCACGCATGAGGCAATGGCGCATGGCAAGATCCAATCTGTAAGAGAGGCACTGTTATTTACACTTTGGGCTTCTTTTCAGTTTTAAAAGTAGAGACTAAATTAATTATCCATGAGCCCAAGCAAGCCACTTTCCTCTCTGACAGACTAGGGCTGAAGTCAGGTCTTTGCAAATCAACATTTTAGACTTTAAAGGCAAGCGTTGGGTTCTGAAGACAAGCGACAGTGAGATCTGGTGCCAAACTGGAGCTGCCCTGGTATTAATGTGTTCATCAGTTCAGTGCTCATGAAAAATGCAGGTGGTACTTTTAGGAAAAATACAGAAAAGCTTAAGGCAAAATTAATTTTGTATTAGGAAATTTTTATGTGTATAAATTAATAATTATATTAAAATTCACCACATGTATTATGCATATATTACTTTGCAGAAACGATCTCCCTTCTCCATCCTAGCATGTGCTAGGCTGGTTGCACTGGGGTTTGTAGTGACAGAGTGCTGCTAGAGACAAGCCAGCTGCTCCTGAGCCATAAGGTCTGGGAGAAGCCTTAGGATGTACAATTGACCTAGATCTGTTGACCTCAGTGACTGAGCCTTTGAGGGACATTTGGCTCCTCCAGGGCAAGGTGACAAATGTAGAAAGGATGATGCTGTTTTAAAGGGGGTGTTGCTACAAGTAGTCAAGCTCCATTGAGAGCTCCTTTGAATTCCATGAAGCCTTTAGCATTCCACAACATACAGGCTGGTTTAGTTTTCCAGAAGTCTCTCTGGCTGCTTGGCTTTCACAGGTTTCTGCACAGTATTTTCCTTCTCTTCCAGTGTTGGAGTAAGCGGTGACCCTTTAAAGTTTGTATCTGAAAGCCACTGAGCAGCTTGGACTCAGTAACTTTGGGCCAGGCAGAGAGCCACAGCTCATATAACAGACACTGGAATAAGGCTTTGCCTGAAGAACAGCAGGACTTACTGGTTCGACAAGTGCTTTGGGAAAACACACTTAAACAAAAGATGCTTAAACAAAAGACAGTAATTCCCTTAAATAAACTTAGATAAATCATCATTATAGAGTAATTAGCAAGGTAATGAGATCTTTATGTCATTAAGCAATGGCAAGAGCAAAGAATGTGTCACTTTACTAGTGGGACACATTAATTAATTCATAATAGAGTGAAAAATCAAAGCTTGAAAAATGTGTATTTGCAGATCTGACAAACCCAGGCCCTCTGATACAAGGTGCCTTGCAGAAAAGATGGCCATTTTAGCTCCATTTGTCTCTTTAGCCTCCAAGATTAAGGAATAATCATGGTTAAACTGTATGTAAATCTTTTTGGCAGAATAGCATAAGGTTTGTCTAAACCAGACAATTTTTGTGGAGTCCAGCCTTGTATGGCCTGGAAGAGGGCGAGCTGCTCTGCTATCGCCCACTCAGGTATCCCATAGGATGGACCCAAAGTGTATGAATGTCTCTGGTAGATTTTGGTGCAAACAGCTTATGCCTATGAGCTGTGAGTCTGGCAAGGGCCAAGGAAGCGTGTCTCTCTGTTTTGAGTCCTCTTGCCAGCATGGCTGATGTCAATGCTGCAGGAATTGAACTGCCTAATGGTGTCACTGTAGCAATTAGTTCCCCTATTTTTTTTTAATGTGCAATATACATGTGAGACTATTGTCTTACTGTTTCTCTTTTTTTTTTTCCCTTGGGTTTTAGGTTTCATAGACCGTAGCAGATCAATTCTACCTGACTACTATGCCATCTTCAAAACATAACTAAAAGGAACCATAAGTGCTGGTATTATTCATTTCCCTGTTACGTACAATGTAAATCTTCCGAACGCCTTTTTAAAAAAAAAAAAAAAAAAAGTAGAAAAATAAATATTAAAAAAACAGAACAGGAGAATTGTATTTACATGTGATGAGTACTGCAGCATCATCAGACCTTCTGGTTCAAGCTTCAGTAACAGAAAATACCCCTGGTGGGAAATCGTGCCAAGACTTGGCAACTATGTATAGGACTTTCCCGGCATGTGGATTTGCCATATGTGTTCAAGCCTAGCTGGTGGTGCAACCATTGTTGTCTTCAGGCACCCCTCATCCTGACAAGCCTCTGTCATCAACCCTAAAGAGCCCTGAGACAGTGTTCAGGGAATCACTTGGCCTGGGCGAAGTCTCCAAAAGATGAGCCCCTGTGGCATTAAAGCACTTACACCAAACACTCCTTTCAAGCTGAGAGCACCTTATGAGGACAGTGAAGGAGCGAAACTCTCCATGGGCCAGCCCATCTGTGAATATCATCTGACTAGAAAGGCATTTCTTTCCCTTGAGAAGTTTACAGCCAGTCAGTAGACATTATTCAGCTTCCAAACAGAAAAATCCTCTGAAGAACAGGACTCCCTACTGAAGGCTGCTTCACTTCTAGCAACTGTTTGTTTTCCATGTCTTTCAAGTATAATTTTCTAAACCCGCTTGTGAGCCCATTAGCAGTAAGCTACAAGAACACTGAGAACCAGCAAGCAAAAGCCCATCTCTTCCTGGTCACTGCATGGCATCTGCTCTGCTTGTAGTTTGTCTTACACCCAAACCTTGTGACTGTGTGAGAGCCAACGTGCCCCTGGCAGCAGCAAAGGCTGGGATTCCCCTCCGGCTCTGCAGAGGGACATGCAACAGGAGGGGCAGGAGGTTCCACAAAGGATATCTCTTGTCTCTCTGTCAGGTGTCTCAAGAACTGATCCTAAACTCACACTGAGCAAAGCATGACAAAGTGTGTTGCCTGGCCTGACAAAAGGAGTCTGGGGCACTCTTATGGATGGTGGGACTTGTCACTGGTACCCACAGCTGAGGCATAAGGACAGCAATTCAGAGGTGTTCTGAATTTATAGGTTCTAATTTTGGTTTTAATTTATTTTTATTATAGTGGTTTAACACACAAACTGACCAAGCAGAGCTCAGAGAGCTGGTCACTCTGGGCCTGGTTTACTTGCCAACTTAAGTGTGTGCTCTACAGTAAGAAAGCACACACAGCCTCACTGCTTTCAAGAATATGTCTGAGAGGCTTAATTGAACCTGAACACAATTAAGTGCTTTTCTTAACTTAGGCCACCACCTTCCAGAATTAAGTCCTTAACTAGTATAATGCCAGCAAGCTGGAGCAGACATTGTCAGGATTTCTTTCAAGTTCTTACAAGATACTACTATGCTATGTTTTGGGACAGTGCCTGAAAGCACTGTAGCAACATTACTGTAAGAAGTTCCAGATTATTATTCCAGGACACCTTTTCTTCCACAATAGCTATTTTCCTTTGACAGTCTGAACAGAGAGGCCAAAGTTTTTTATACAGGTTATTTCTGTTATTCTTTTACTATTTTTTCCTCTCTCACTGTCTTCCATGTATCTATCCTCTCTTCTGTGCTCCCTGTCCAGCTCCCCCTGTTCCATGCTAGCATTGCCCTTCACTGATTGCAGCCAAGATGGCTCTCACACTTGAGCATTTAATGCTCAAGTGCAGTGCAGTGTAGTGCCAACACTCTTGCCTCTTCTCAGGCCTCACCTCACCCCTCTGGATGCGGGAATACAGCCAAAGGACCTGCATGCAGCCCATGGAGTGGCTCTAGCACCCAGCCTGCCCCAACAACCCCAGCAGTGAGGGTGACACCCTCCATTTGCACTTGGTGGTGGCACTCAGCACCTCGCAATTGGCTCTCCAGCAGAGAGAAGCAAAAGCTTTTAATTCTCATCCACAGCCATCCTTGCAATGCTGTGGATTATTAATTATTAAATGAGGATTTGCTGTTGTAGGATGGAACATCAAAGGAAATTGAAAACCATGTGGTTTCTGGTGCTTCCCAGACTGGGTGATGATTTCTGAGGAAACACACCTTGATCCCTCTATCACCAGCTCACACTTGCTTTAGATAGAAGTGCATCAGTAGTGAAAGCCTTCAATGTGCAATGTTATCAGCTCAGTGCAGCAGAGGCAGAGCACTACCAGCCAGAATACACTGCTCTGGGGTTATTGTCATGAAAACCTCAGCTCATGATTATAAATTCATTCACATACATATGCACACAAGTTACAAGACTGCATCAGAGCTGTAAAACAAGGAAAAAAAGCCCTTATGCTTTTGACTGCAAGGAAACTGCATTAGCAAAGGGTTCTGCAATAGAGCTGTTCTGAAGAACAACAAATCCTTGTGTTCCCAGCATGGATCTCACACCTGCCCTGGCGTCTCTAGCTTAGAGGATCACTGTGAAATGGAAGGGACACTGTTTAAGGAGCAGTGGTGATAGGAATCACAGGACTTGGTAGGCTAGTGGGAGGGAAAGGTGAGGGTTTCATTTTTATTAACAAAATTAAGAAGAGGCAGGTGAAAGTTACAGGCTGCTGCTGGAGTCCCCAGAGGAATGATCAGATTGGGCATTGCCACTGTCCCTCACAGGCACAGCCACAAGCAATGCCCACACTGCCAGTCTGGCACCCAAAATAAACCTTTGAGCACTGGCTGAGACACATAACAGCCAAGTCCTGGGTGATGGCCAAACATTCCTCAGTACCTTCATCTGGATGAGCCCATAGCAGGTCCCTGCTGACCACTGATGCCCCATGATTTTGTGCTGTCCCCAGGGCAGCTCCATGCAGCCATCCTTTTTTTTTTTTTTTTTTTACTTAACTCCTAGCTGAGCAGACACCAGACAGAAGTGGAAGAATTGCCATATTTCTCCCCAGATGGAAATAGAGCTTATTCCTGAAAAGGGGGAAGGGGAGTAAAAAGAAGCCATACAAGGTGTTTGGCACTGCAATAAGTATCACCAAACTGACCCTTCATCTGCTTTTAGCTTCAGTGGGTCTGGGTAGGTTGCAAAGTTAACCTTTGTCAAGGTGTTCCACAGCAGGACTGTTCCTTCAGGGCCTGAACACAGCACTCCATCCACAGTGTGCACGCCCACCTCTGCCATCTCTGGGAAGTTGCACACAGACTGGGAAACTGCTGGTCCCTTTTTTATATATCTGGTTTATTGAGAATTGTTTTCTGATCTGTGAAAGCCATCTCTATCATGGTAAAGGAGCGGTGATTCTGTTGGCAGTAAAGGAAAAAAAACAACAGTCATGATTTCTCTCCTTTGACCTGGATTATGTGTAGAACATAATGATGGCATTCCTGCTAAGACTGTATTAACAGAGTCATCCTCATTCTGATTGGAAGGAGATTAATAGTGGTAATAAATAAATTACACCAGGTTTAGAGACTGGAAAAGTCAACACGGAACAAAAATTACTATTCCAGAGGTAATCCATTCCCAGATGTAATAATCAAGGAATAGAAGCATTTTTGTTATATCTACCAAATTCTGAATACTTCAAGTGTGCAAGTATTTTGACATCTGTTCAGCAGCCTGCAGAATAATGAAGTAGAAATGGGGACTAAGGGGTGGCTGGGGCAGTGGTGGAGGTTGAAAAAGAAGCTTCAAAACATCTAGGCAAAAAAGCCTTGATTGGGAAAAGCGATGGTGAGGAAGCCCAATAGTGGCACACCTTCACCACCCAGAGAGTTGCAGGGACCTGGTGACACCATTCTGACTCAGAGGGAACATGGCATTATGGCTTTTGCCCACCCTACACCCCACTGGGTGGGTACTTGCAGGCTGAAGAAGTTTCAGGCTGCAGGTTTGCTGGGAAGGGGCTCAGGCCAACTTTTGGGTCTAGGCAATTCCTAGTGAACACAATGGGCATTATCTGAAGAAAAGGAAGAGGCGGGGCAAAGAACATAATAGACTTTTAGCTATTTTATGTTAATTGAAACCATTTCATGAGGCCATTACACAAATAAATCTCATCCTAATACATGTGGAACCACTGCATTCTGTCATCACTGCAACTACTCACCAAATTAACCCTTCCTTATTTCTACAGCACCACCTGTGCAGTGCAAACACTATAAACTCAGAGAGGGGGGAGCACTTCCAACATGCCTAGTGAAGCTTGCACTTATAAAAATAGATGGGCAAGGTGGAAACCCATAGTTATACATGAATGGGGGCTCCCTAACGTGCCTGCAAATAACTTTGTATACAAATAGCCATGGGAGATGACTAGGCTAACAAAAAAATCAGGAAGAAAAAGGGGACAAATTATTTTTCCCAGGTGTTCAGTCTGCTCAAGCTTGGAACAACTTCTGTAAACAAAGAGGAGGTGACGGGCACATACCCTGTGTTCCTGTGTGTCCCAGTTACTCCTGCACCAGTTGCATTTTCCAGTTGATATCCAAGTGTATGTATATAGATTGTCTTTGTATAGGAGTGAGTGTGGTGGCTGTCAATCGTGATCTTCCAGTATTGTAATTTAACAGATTATGGCTGTATGAAAATGATGTAAATAACTAGAAAAAATTAAACTGGATCTCTATGTCCTAGTTTTTGTACATACTGAAACTGCATGGTATTTAAATTATTGTTTGTCTCTGATGTATGCAGTTTCTTAAAAAAAATTCATTTAAAAGAAGCTTTCTGGTGCCTGTGTATTTTATCACCCTCTGTCCCAGTGACTGTGTAACACACGGAGGTAGTCAAGGATACCAGTCAGGCTCACCCACACCTCCATGGGAGCAAAGCAGGAAAGGGAGACTTCCCAGAGCAGATGGATGGGACAGATCAGATGAGCCCCAAGCACTGTGGCTGGGCTGGTGCAGCTCAGCAAGGAAGGACAAGTAGTACCTCAGCTGCTGAAGGGGTACTTGGCACCCCTCTAGTGAAGAGCAAATCCAACAGTCTGCACTAGACACACACAGGCATCCAAAAATTCCACAACCAAACCCCATCTGTCACAATGCTGCTGGTGCAGGCTGTGCTCTGTCTGGGCCAACTGCCAGAGTCAATGTGCAGCCACCAAGCAGCACAAGCAAGTGCTGCTGCTGTTCGGCAGAGGAGCCATTCCTGCACATCCGTATCATGTATTCCTATTCTTTGTTACCCTTCTTCCCCAAGTAGCTTCAGTGGGAGACAAGTTGAAGCCTCTGCGTAGTGAAAAGAGGAGAAAAAGCTTTCACAAGAATAAGTACGTAACTTCAAACCAGCTCACTGGCCTCCTGCAAGGGTGACAACTCTGCTGAGGCTCTTCAGTGTTTGGAAATGATGGTGCAAACATTCTGACCCTAAGGAAATGAGTGACACCCAGAATCCTCATTCTAAGTGGCAGCTGGGAGCAGCTCCCCTTCCCTGACACACAGAGGCTTCCAATTACACAAAAATTAAAGATCCATCTACTTTAACTGACCAATTTCTGTTCCTTTCCCTTGCTGGTAGGTAAACACATGATCAAAACTCTGGTATTGGGCTTTTTTTGGTTTGCTTCCATCTGGGCAACTTTTCACCTACCTTGTTTGTGTGTGTTTGTCTTTCCATTCTGACAGACAATGAGTTTTGTGGCTATCCTGTGAGATGTGGATAAATCATCAGAATTGTAGGTTGTGACTAAATATCCCCTTCCCTCACATCGAGCTATGGCTTCCATAGCAGCAGTATGTAGTGGTTTCTTTACAGATAGAAAAGAAGAAAATAAAAGAAGCCTTAACAAGAAAATTATTGGTGAGAATATGTTGTACAGGGAATGTGAGATCACAGTCCAATCGCTTGCATTGAGACCTCTACAAAAGGGATGGGTTATGTTTTCATGGAAGCATTTCATAAAACCAGTCTAAGTGAAGGGATGTGTGTGTCTTCAGTGAACTCCATGTAATTACTGGTAATCAAACTGCAATCCAATGCCATCTGTAGGCAGGAAACGGAGCAGGCTGGAAAAAAAAAATCAATGCTCCATTTAACAGACACACCTGCACAAACACACTCTGCTGCTTGGCAGTGCCTGGCTGAGAGCTCAGTGCTCTTAGCCCAGCATAGGACTGGGCTGCTTTGCCATTGTCTTCCTCACCTCCATTTCTGCCCCTTGCTCCTCAGACCAAGGTTCCTAGACAACCAAGCCCAAAAACAACAGCGTGGCCATGCCCTGGTCACACAGTCGAGCTGGTCTGTGTGGAACAAAGCAGCTGCCCTGCTCCTGAGCAGTGGGAGCTTCTGGTGCAGCTGTCAGCTGCAGGTGGTGCAGCACCACCCTCAGGCCACACGGGCCAGCAGTGCCTTCATATGGTACAAAGCTGCGGACAGAATTCTTCCCTGAGTGGCAGGATGAACAAAAGCTTGGCTTTTAGGTAAATCTGTGCCACAGGAGCTGTGGTGTTCAGAAGCCACATCTTTGGCTGAAGCTCTCCCATGTGGAGATGACAAATGATCTGTCCACAGAACACTGCTCTGGATCGCTGTTACTTTATGAGCCTTTGAATGACTATACTGCAGCTACTTTTGTCTCCATGCTCTCCTGCTTTCCTTTCCATGCAGTCAGGCCCCTTAATAAAATCCAAACCACTCATCACTTTTCAAGCATCATGCTCTGTCATCTGCCATTACTTTGCTTATCTGGAGTTTCCATAACATTTGGACATCAGCTGGAAAAGAACTGGCACATGCAGCACAGGAGAGCACACACATGTAGCACCACTCTAAACCCCTCTGGAGAGAAAGTATGGCTTGAGGGGAGAAATTGATCAAATTAAGCTTATTTTTCTTGTTTGCAAAGCCCATGAAGATATTTGGCAGGGTGAAGCTTGAGGGGGAGAGCTTTCACTCTCCAATGTCCAAAGTGAATGCTTCAGTGCTGTCTCTGGGAGAAAAAAGCATAAAGGAAACACAAAACCTAACACTTGTTGGGTTCCAAATGAATAAGCAAGTATGCAGCAAGCAGCTACATACTCAGCCATTCAAGGAGAAATTATGTAAATAAAGAAAAAATACCTCATTTTCAAGATTCTCAGGAAAAATGAACATCAGATAACTTCTTATGTTCCTTTTGGATGTCATAGAGGTTAGCAGAAAACAAATAGCAAAGATAACCCCTTCCTCACCTTACTTAGCCAAAGGTTTCAGTGGGAGGTTCAACTATGTGCAACTTCAAAACATTCTGTGTTAGGCACTACTAGTCCATAGCAGATAAATGACCAAACTTGGACTTCCCATTAGAAGTGGCAAGTTGGACACCACAACTACTGCGCTGGTTTTGTTCAAGAGGTCCAAGAATGGTCACTACCAACCCCAGGCTGGTGACAATGTCTGGAGGGACAGACCCAGGCTTCCCTAACACTAGACTCTTCTCCAGGCTGGGACATTAGAGGTACCTTGCCTCAACCTTCCCCTGACCATCGCATGCTGGGGACAGTGGAAGCTCCCATTGTGCCGTTCTGCTCCCTTGGGAAGCAGGGTGGTGTGCTAAAGCTTTATGCTCCACTGGGTGTATGAGCAACTGAGCAATCACTGAAAATTGACTGAGCCTAAGCAAGCCAGATTCATACTTCCGGTCTACTGGGAATTCAGGGCATCTTCTGCATTCCTTCATAAATCCACAGCTTAAGTTTGTGAGTGGATCCATTATGAGACACACAAATGCCTCTCACCAGCGGTTAAGGAAGCATGGCATTAAACCACCATGCACTCTCTTCAGCATAGCACCTTCTTCAGCACAGCTCACAATAAATAATGACCTCTGCAACAAAGAAACACTCCTGATCCTTCTTGGTACATGCAATTGAAAAAGCTACGCACAAACTTCAGCTGGACATGACAGTGGAGCAGCATTTGGGGATCCATCCCACATAAAACAGGATGATTAAGTAAAATTGCTGTTGTTTATGTGGAAATACAAAGCTTTTTACTGTGAGGATGACCAAGTACATGTTTCCCAAAGAGGTATTAGACTCCCTCTCCTTGGTGATGGTCAGAAGCCACATAGACATGCCTGGTCCTGGGCAACCAGCTCTAGGTGGCCCTGCTTGGGCAGGGGATCAGACCATGTGGACTCCAGAGGTCCCTGCCAACTTTTCTAAGGTTCTGTAAAACCTTCTGTGGAACCTTTCTAAGGTTCTGTAAAAGTCGATGTCTCTCTTCTGTGCAGCTCCAGGCCTGCCTACTGATAGAGAAAGGCTTCTTTAAATTAAAAAAAAAAAAAGGACTTCTGGAGCCTTCAGTCAAACAGTAATTGGAGGAACACTCACTGGCACGCCTGGAAGCAGTAACACTGACTGGCATTTCTAATCCTGATTCAGTGCACCTCTCTTCACAGAATATGAGTTATTGATTCCCTTTCAGGACTGAAACAGCTGAACACCTTCAGTGTCGTCGCTGCTTGTTTTTAAATGACCAAGTAATCTGCCGTGTGAAGGCCCCAGTAACGCCCCTGCTCCTTTGGGGTGGTGTGAATTGGCTGTGCAGCCAGGGGGAATCCTTCACACGGGCAACCTCTCAGACTGCACCTGTGGCCATTATTTGAAACACTTGTGCACTGCATGTTACAGGATGCAGGGCTGCTGTTAACAGAACTTGTGTCTTTCCCGTGCACCTTACCCTGCACTAGGAAAACATGCATCCATCCAAAGTGAGCTCCATGGATTACACCACAGTGAAGGAACAATGGACTCCAAAGCAGATGCAAACACACTTTTCCTGAACTGGCTGAATTGGGGCATTCCAGCAGCACCAACTGCAAGGTCTCAGCATCCAGCAGAGATCATCTCCCCAGGATTTTAGGGGTAACCCCAGCAAAGTCCCAGGCTTCACCATTTAATGTGCTGCAAGATAAACCTGACCCAGTTTAAAACAAAAGCTTCTAATGCATTTCAAGTCTGCACAACACTGAGTGCAAGCTTAACACACTCTCTCAAGTGTAACAAGCATCCTTGGCACTCAGCACACTAAGCACTAATATGAGTCAAGTAACAGCTAAGCAACACATTCTTATGTACAATTCCCTGGACTATGCAAGAGGTAGAAATAGAATTTTATACTTTTGCAAAAAAAAGATCAGTTCCCCAGTAAATCTCTATCTATGGCTAATCACTTTACTTTTACTTACACCATGAATTACATTTCTACATTGAATTAATTCTGAAATCTAAACCAAGCAAGAATCAAATTACAACAGCTTCAAGCCAAGCACTCAGCAGAGCCATTGGTTATTACTGGGCTATAATTCTGAATTACATTGGCTTATCCCACTGATTTTCTCCATACCTGCACAGATCCACTTCTCTAGAATATCTTCCATGAAGAACAAAGGAGATACAGCCATAGAGAGCTGTCTGACAGACAAAAAGAAAGTATTTTAAAACATTCCAGAAAAGGATTTCACCCCTGGTCATTGTGATGTCCTGTACCTCAGATTTGGGAAGCTTCATTTACCTGAAATTTCACAGTGTTAAAAAGAGTACAATTACATTCCTAGCAAAAGCATGCTTGTTCACCACCCAGCAACTTGACATTCAGTAAATTCACTGTACAAATACATCCAAGTAGTTACTCGTAATTCAAGTACAAGATGGCACACTGAAATATTTTTATATCTATTTTTATATCAAGTAAATCTATTTACCTTGCTTCGAGTTAGGTTTCCTTCTGCAAAAGCAAGAGAGCACACTGTGCAATCAAAATACTGTAGCTGGATGAACAAGTAACACTTTGGCCATCATCACCCCACCACTAAGTATCTTCATTCCCTCTGTTTTTATTGAAAAATATTTACACATTGGTCATTATGCTTTAACAGCATCTTTACACAAAAGGGTTAACAAAGCACATCACACTAGGATGGGGAAAGGGTGGTAAAATGTCTTTTCAAAAGTTAGGTTTTTTCCCAAGCTGTCACAAGCCAAGAGAGTTCTCAGACTGAGTGTGCTGGAGTCCCACAGTGTGTGCGCCACAGATCCACAGCTTTGCTGACAATGGCGTCAGTGTTGTCCTGAGGAATCTGCAAAAGATCGTGCCAAAGTGCCTGGTCAGAGCACTCTATTCAGACTGTTTTCTTTAAAATAAAAGTTTTGAATTTCCAGTCCAGATTTTATCTCTTTATAAAAATGAAAACAAAAGTAGAATCCCATCTCCCTGTTCTCTCATCGCACCATCCCTCTGTCCTGCACACACCATATTACATCCAGGTTTTGGACAAAAAGCTTTCATTTCCAAAATGCTGCTAAGCAGTCGAACACCTCACACTTCACACATCCCTAACACCAGGCATGACTCACACTCCCTATCCATGACCACAGCTGTATCTCATATAACTCACCTGGGTTACACTGGGACCCTACAGCCCTGCTGAGATGCCTCATTACTATTCAGGGTCAGGAAGGTTCAGGGTCAGATTCATGATCCCATCCTCACATCAACAGAAAACACACATTTAGTCTACAAATCTGCGCTCAGGCAAGATGCAAAAAAAGGTGCCAGAAACCAGCCCTTCTAAGAAGCCTCCAGAAAAATTAAGCTAACCTGACCTGCACTTTCACAGAAAAACCCTTTAGTATCACAAATGTTAATTCTGTACATAAATACACTCCCCAAGCCTAAAAATCATTTAGTTCTATGGAAGCCTTACCTCCTGATAGAAGAAGTTATTATTCTCAATGCTGAGCATAGTCCCTTCACCTTGGTACTGCTACACTGTTCTCAGTAATGTAATAATATCTTTTGGTACATCTGCAGCAGGCAAGCAATTCAGACTGAAACAGTTATAAGCTATAAAAGGCAATGAAAAGCATAATTAGAGTACTTACATTTTCCAAAAACTGTGTGATCTTTTCTGCAGAATTCAGTGCTATTATCTTCATTTTAAAGGTTAATAATATCTCCACAGCAACAAACACAAGAATCTTGCAGGATCCACTTATAACTTTGTCCCAAACTCTACAAGAAAGTGAAAAGGAATCACTAAACACTACTGCAGTGTTTATCTGCTTATTTCTCTGCTAGAACAGCCTTTGTATAATCATCTCTATCCAGAATGTTTTTCTGAACAACAGCAATGTATTGAATTATTCGGGTCAGGATAAATAGACAACATTTTATCAACTCCTCAATCTGTACAGAGCAGAGGGATAGCAAGCAGCAATTGGAATGTACTGATATGGTGTGTTGCTGTTTAGAAATTTAACTGTTTACAAGCTCAAGTACAAAAAGCAAATCTTGGCTTAATAGCCTGGACTGTAACAACTACTCTACAGGACTACACAGCTACCAGAGCGTGTGGTAAAGATGAGAATTCTTCCTAGTACAACAAAAAAAAGAAATTAACTCCATTAGCATGCCTAATAAAGATACTCTTCAATCAGCTAAGTTGCTAAAAATTCAAAGAGATGTAATATTGAACTACTACATCTCAAGCAGGTCATTGCTGTATGAGATACAAATATGATCAGCAGGATATAGTCCATGATGTTTAAACTAGGCACAAGGAACAGCTATTAAGTCTTCTAATCCATCCCACTGTGCACAGACATTCTCAGAAATACCTAGGCACTCCTACCTCTCATGTGAAATCATACCTGGACCTCCTTGGGCAGGTTTTCAAAGGCTTCAGCAACAGAACTTGGATGAATATTAAAATGGATCACCACTACCAAAACCTACTATTAGCTTGCAACAATTTGAAACCATCCTTCATCCAGCAGCTCTCTCTCAGGCCCAGTTCAAGAGACTCAGGATAAAAGATTACACAAAACAGTGTGAAACCATCTGTCAGATGACAGCTTTTAGGGCTCACATTCTTTTTAGTTCTTGAATTTTAAGAGCTATGTCAGAAAGAATTTCTAAGGATTACAGTTCTTGCTCCTTCTGGGCACTTCTTCAAAGTATTTCTCCTTCCAAACAAAAATATGGAGGAACAAAGATCACACACTACCCTCCATAATTTCTGAATATAGTAGCACCAACTGAAAAATATCTTCTGCAGCCCATCTACAAATGTAGATCTATGGGTATACTCCTTCCAGGGACAACTCAATTTTTGTATGACCTCTCTCAGAAGAATTTGCCTTTCAGCCCAGAGAGCCAGGAGAGCACAACGCAGGCATGACATGAACTTTGACAGCTGAACTGAAGCATAGGATCACACTTTTACAGAAGGAATTAAAGAGGGGAGAGCCCAGCCAAGAGCAATTAAGGTGATGAAGAGAGAGGAAAGGTGAGAGAGCTTGGACTGCTCAGCCTGGAGAAGAGAAGGATCTGGGGAATCTCATCAACGTAAACTGGAAGGGAGAGTGCAAAGAGAGTGGAGCCAGGCACTTTCCAGTCATGCCAGGTGAAGGGATCTGAAGCAACAGGCACAAACTCAAACACTACATTTTAACTTATAACAAAGAAAGGAGAAAAACAAATGTGTAGATCCTCAGGACTGTTCTGAAAGCAGAAGGAAACAAAAAACCCACATGGATAGATAAGGGGAAAAGAAAAAGCACAGCCAATTTCTTTCCCCTTTGCAATTTAGTTTTAATTCCCTGTCTTCTATGATTAAATAATTAGTACAATCCCCACGGGGACAGAACATCACACAATCCAAGATCAAAATCTTACTGCTTCATTTGTGGTTCAAGCATTCCAGGACAAATGATCACTGCAAATATTACATTGCTGTTGAAGTCAGGTCTAGGAAGCTTTAAGCAAGGATATGAGAGAACTGAGACAACAGCTCTGTTCCACACTATAGAGGTCACCCCTGTTTACTTCTACAGCATTTTCCTACACAAACACATCTGTTTAGAACACAAGAAAAACTTCCCTGTGTGTTCCATGTGCATCAGAACTGTAATTACGAGTGACAATTACTGCAAGTGGCAGATCTCAAAAACAGGAAAAATAATTGAAACTTCATATTAAAGCTCATGTTAATTTGAAAACAAACTTACTAATCCTTTTATAAAATACCCAGTCTTCTTTCATTATTTTGCTTCCAATTCTTCTGACTTCAGTCTCCATAATTACATTAGGTTACATGCTATGCTCAGAAAACACTTTATTGTTTTCCTGCATTATTTAGTCTGATTCCCATACAAATGTTTTAACAATGGCAAAACAGATGCAGTATCTAAATCACCAGTGTCTTAACTGGTGCAAGATGGTGCACAGAAAACTGAGTGAGATGTCAGCACTAACCAGCTGTGTCTGCTGCAATATTTTTCCCTTAACATTTCCAGCTATTGTTACTCTCAGTGCCTCTCCACCAGTGACAGTAATCGGGAATGATTGTGCAACACTGTGGTGAACAGTCAGCACCTTGTCTGTACCAGCAGAGCCAGGAACAACAATATAAACAGCCAAAAGTAAGAAAAAAACCACAGCAGTTTCAATGAAATACATTTTCTGATCCTCTTCTAATACAGCAGTTTTTATATGTTGTGTTTACACAGGCGTCCTGCTTTCCTTTTTTTAGTAGCAATCATATAAGGTCAAGTTTACTGCAACTTTTTACCTGTTCTTTGATACTTCTGGAGAGGGGGAAAGTATAAGAGAAACATCATGAAACTGTGCCTACAGCCCTACACAGGGATGAAGAAAAAGAAATACATATTCTGAATGAAATTCACTATTTTGTGTGACTGTCATCCTCTGTAAAATACAGCTGTTCAATTAACCACAGGAACACTTTTGCAGGTGTTTCTTGAAGAGCAAAGCAGTATTGACAAGCACAGGAAAAATAAAAAGAAATGGGAAGCTGTAAAGGCAAAGAGCATGCCAAGGATTATGCAAATGAAACCATTTACCTTTCACTGATCCTCTTCTATAAACAAGATACAACACTCTGTGTGCACCTGTGTGTGAAGGGATAGCATTCTCCAGGCACTCTCTGAGGTTCCTGCACCACTACAGTGCAGGAATACACAAGAGGCATCACAGCACTGCTGCTCTCTCTTTTTCTGATGTACTGTTATTAACCTCACCATTTTTCCCTACGGTGCAGGGTATAGACACTCAACCTTATTTCCTGCCTCTGGTCCTCCAGCCATCCAGGCAACAGATATCTAAAAAATTCAAATGCTTTCTCCTCTGCCTGCAGTTCTGGGTGTCCTTCCAGAGGTAACTGGGCATGGAGGGACACGATGAAGCTCACACAAATCTCACCCTGATCTATCACGTTCTTGTGCCCATTCATTTGCAAACCTGAGAAGCAGCTCAGTGAGACAAAGGCAAACTGACTTCAGTTTCTCTGTAGTAGCAGCCCACATGCACATTCTCATGCCCTCCTGCTCCACAGTAAAATTAAGGCATTTTCCATATTTCTGTTGTTTCTATTAACAAATTACTTACATTTTTACAACTAAATGTAATTTATACAGAGCATGGAGATCACAGATGTACAACTACAGAATTATATTAATATATGAGGTTGTGCCAGTTTGAAAGTCATAAGATTTCAGGAGAATGACCAAATACTTTGCCACTAGCAAGTCGCCAGAGACTAATAATCTAACACAAGCCAGCCAATGCCAATCCTTCAGTGCAGAGTACAAACAACATTAGGCAGGGGCCTGATACATGAGTGGCATCATTAGGCCATAAAAAACGCCTGGCTCACTCACAATTACAACTGCAAAGCTGCACTGCTTCTGCTGGATCATCTGGGCTGACAGTGCCAGATTAAACTGGAAACCAAAGTGCCATTTTGCCTGTAGACATGAAGCCACAAACAGGAGCCCAAGGTTTAATAGCAGGGATCTACCAGCTGAGGGCCATCACAACACCATTGGAAAGCTTTCCACACATGGGCTTACCAAACAGGTAAGCAGATATGCTGCTGCATAAATCAAACAAACAGGACAATGAGTAGGAAAATAATTATGTGATCCAGTTCTCTCCCAGTCTCAGAGAGAAGCACACATTTCTGTGCCTCTCAAACCTCTGCTACAGGCTGGTTCATATTCCAGAAAGCATCCTGTCTATATTCCAGGTGGGATACAGAGTCTCTGGAACAGTCTGCTCCTCCCTTTTACCAATGTGCCACCTTTAAGAAGTTTGTTAAGATGCTCATCACAAAATATGCCAAGTATATTAGACACTGCATAAGCTCAAAGCAAAAGTTTCCAGGTAAAACCTGTCTGTATGTATTTTCCAAGCCCACTTAAATTAAGCTGATGAATAAATTTTACCTATGGTGTAACTTGAAGTGTGCTATAAACTAGTATTTATACCGAGTGCCAATGCCTGTCAGGTACTGATATTGTGCAACTTCATCTCACCGTTATCAGGTAAAATTTCTGCACATTACATACAAGTCTTGTACACCTCAGAAAACAAACAAACCCATGAATTTTAGATTTATCTGCTTGACAGAGAAGACCACAGTTCATAGAAAGCAAGCAGCCTCTGTAAGAAATGCAGTGCTAAATCATAAGTGAAAATAAATCATAAAATACTGTGTTCAGATAATCTCTCACTTGACAAGAAAGTAAGTAAAATTCATGGGAGAACTGGAGACCTTCAAACCTCAGCAGTTTCAACACTGACATTTGGATGCATTTCAGATAAGCACTGGGGCTTCTAGATCCTAATCCAAACTGAATCTCCAAGCATTAATTAAGTTCATCTGTCACATACCACCCATGAAGTATGCTATTTCCTCAGCGAATAAGGCCATTATGATTACAACTGAATAATTCACAAACCTAAACTGCCAAGAAAAAGTGCAATTTCATCATGTTCCCACAAGAACTGCTGGGAAAAGGGATTGTTCTGCCATCAGAAGTACCTACACTGAAATTTGTTTTTATTCCAGTGTGATACAAAAAGCCAGTTTTTTGACCTTTTCCAGGGGGGAAAAAAAGTATTTAAAAATTTCAGATAATCAAAATATTCTATTTCAGTAAGGTAAAACAGCATATGGAAATGTTAAAGATGCATACTGACTAGACAAAATATTTCATGTAAATAAAACTAATTCAAAATGGTAGACATTTGAAGCCAAATATTCTTGCAAGATGAAATATTAAATCAAATTCTTAATCTAGATTTTTCCTTTTACAAGTTTCAATTTTCAACATAAATTTTAAAAAAAACCCTTCATCTTCCAAGAGCAAATCTGCTCTGATACAAATTCCTCCCTCAGCTCTTGTCTACAGCCATAAGATCCAGTAGCAAAATTGAATCACATGAGCTCCAAGCTCTAAACTGTAACAAACATCCTATACTGTGCATGCTCACATCATTTCTGCTGTCACAGAAGTAGTAAAAATTTTCAATCACCAGATCACACACAATTAGTAAGCAGACAAGAATATTTTGTAGCCTTATAGGTGCTTGATGAAAAGAACTTGCCATATAACAATAACCTTGTTGCACCTAAAGGTTTCAATCCTTCACAAAATGTATGCTTCTCTCAAACATAATCTTTGGCAACAAAAAAACCTACAGAACCTCAAAGACCATGGTCCAACAAGAGCAGAGAGCATGATTTCTAATTTTACAGCTTGTTCCCTAAAATCTTCTTATTCTTGTAAAGGTAAATAGAACATTTTTTTTTAAACAGCCATTTTCCACTTTCCTCCATGGAACATGAAGTCCCAGATAAACAAACACTGCATCCACTATTCAGATTATTACCAACTTTACCACCATTTTCTACAAAGCAATTTACAAAGCACTGTTTTCACACTAGGTTCCTATTCCAGCCATTGAAGTCCTGTGATTACCTCTAAGTAAAGTTTCTCTTGAACATTGTTACTTCTCAAAGTTTTCAGACAGCTGAAAATTACACCATTGTTTTCTCTGTGCACATCCTGTTCAGCTATCAGCAACTCTTATCAATGCAGAAAGATGTTTCTCTACATTGAGCTTGAATTTCCTGCTTTCTAAGAGTTCTCAGGCAGCAGAATTAGGGAAATCATACAAACTTCATTTCAAAAGCCCTTCAGTGAAGTGTCATGCACAAGGATTTTTCCTTTTTAAAAGCTCAACAACCTATTTGTAACTGTAGAATCCTGATATAATCCACAATTTCATTAATTTTATAAAATTCAACTTGCCCTAGTACTTTTTATAATAAACACTCTGTCATGGTTTAATCCCAGCCAGCAACTGAGCAGCAGACAGCCACTTATTTACTACCTCCACCTGTGGGATGGGGGAAAAATTGGAAGGGTGTAAGTAAGAAATAAATTTGTGGGTGGAGAAAAAAATTTTCATAATTAAATAGAAGTAATAATTTTTCTTCTCTTTTTACACTTTCTAAAAACATAACAAAGAGGAAAATAAAACCTGAGACAATTGATGCAACTCACGATAGTTGCCCACTACCCCGACTGATGGCCAGCAAGTCCCCAGGCAAATGCTCCTACCTGCCAACCTCCTCCTCAGCTTAACTGCTGAGCATGACTCCACTCAGAATGGGATATCCCTTGGCTCAGCTGAAGTTAGCTGTCCTGGCTGTGTCTCCTCCCAGCCATGTTCTTGTGCACCCCCAGCCTCCTTGATGGTGAGGAGCAGAATGATGCTGTGTAATCACTGCACTGCAGGAACTAAAACATCCCTGTGTTCCAAAACACAGCCCTATACCAGCTACTCTGAAGAAATCTAACTCTATCCCAGCCAAAACCCATACACATTCCCAAAATCTTTTCCATCTAACACTAATACAGTATCACAGTCACTCCCTACATACAGATTTTTGTCAAAAAGCCCAAAAGCTGACTACCATCCAGCTATGTAACACTGACAGAGGGTTTGGAGTTCTGCATCCTAGGAGGCACTAAGTGTCCTACAGAATCAGCTGGTATACTTAGCTCCATTTTTTATCTTGCATCAGTAACAAGGGAAATTAAATCAAATTTTATCATTCCCAAGTTAGCAATAAAGCTAACACCATAATCTTAAAGATAAAGTATGGAAAGCTCTTTGCCTGCTAGTGATGACAGAAAGCTGAAATTACTATGTAGTTACAAACAGAAAGAAAAGAAAAAGAACTTGCCTCTGTAAACTGGACTCAGGTAAACATCCTGCAAAACACTTTTTAAACCAAAGATCATAGGGGAGTTTGCTCAATGCAGCACATGTCTTCAGATGCATCAGTAGTCTGTTATCTTCAATGTTCAAATACTGCTCCAGCATTTTTGGCTGAGAAAGAATTAGAAAGTTTTAGGTAACTCAGATCAGAATACTTTCATAGTTAACGCACACTGTAAGACAAGCACTGTCTTACCAATTCAACTGGAGCAATGTAACATATTAAAATAATGTATCTTCATTGTTTTAGTTGTTCCAAAATACAGGTGTTACTGACTTTTGCAATTAACTAATTATGTACTTAACCAAAGAAACAACCTCCTGAAATTGCTGACCACTACCAGAACTTCCAAGATATGCAGCATTCCCTAGTGCAAGGATGTGCTTCAGAGCTTCCAGCAATGCAGAGATTAAACATGCACTAATTACTGCTACCTTCACAAGTAAAAATGAGTTTCATGCACCTCAAATCTAATCGCCTCAGCACACATCAAAAAATATCTGCACATAATGCAGCAAAACCCAAAAAATCAATTCTGAGAGCAATTCCCTGTGCAACCCATTAAAAGCTGGACACTGATTTATTGTTTAAAAACCTGAAGTATTTAAGGCATAAACATGTGGATAATTTGCTCATCTTGTTTAAATTTTAATGTAACACAGTACATCTTTTCATGAATTTTTGACTACCTATATGCTTTGTCATAGTTAGGCAAACTGTTAAGGACCTCAACTGTCAAAGGCAGAAAACACTTCCTTTGCCAATATTCTCACCTACTGAGTCTTGGCATATTGATTGTGTTACAAAAAAAAATTAGGGAGGGAGATGCTTGGCACTCTCTACATCACATAATACGAACACAGACTTTAAAAATAATCCTTTCTCATTTCAGCTGGTATAGTTGAATGTACCATCCACAGAAACAGGAGGTAGGTTTAAAAATTATTTCTTAGTTCCAAAATAACTAACAAGAGCAGGGATAATTTTCCACAGCAAATTTCTATTCAGCAATTGCTGGTGCTCATGTACTCAATATTTTTACTTTTTAGGATATCGTTAACTAAAAGCTCCTTATCTGTTAAGGCCATTTGATGAATTACAAGAACTTCTATCATTTTCGTAAGTACACATTAAAATCAAACTTTAATTTTATGAATCAGTAAGACAGAAATTCAAAATTAATATTCTATGATAGAATTTAAATTGACAGTGCTACAAAAATCTACCCCACTTTTTATTATAATTTGATTTGCAACATACTGTTTTTCTGAAGAAAGAATACTCTGCTCCATTTATAAAGCAAAACTGTGCTTTGTCTATCATCCAATGAGCAGCACATGAATGCCAGAGATGCAGCCTAGAAAGTAGCAGACGTACATGAAGATGTTCTTCACTTTTGACATTTTTAATTGTTTAAAGAAAATTCTTAAGTGACCAATTTGTGAGACATGTAATTCTATTGTATACAATGTAATCTTTAGACAAAAAAGGCAATTGAAAATTACCACGTAGCAAACAAAAACAATTTTTAATGTTACATTAGACCGGGCAGCACAATCACAATGCAGAAAGCACTCCTCCCCTGTTCTCAAAGTAGCTGGTGGAATAGAGTCCAGGGTGTCACTTCTGATTCTCCAGTTGTCTCCCCGTATTAATGTTTTCCATGAATGCTTCTCCTTGCAAAAAGAAAAAAAAAAAAATTCCTTTTCCTTACCAGCTGTTGTAATGAATCTTTGTGCTTGCTGTTCAGCTGATTCACAAAGCAACTGACAAGCCAATAGCATTCTATAGGATCCTCTACCATTTCCTCCATTGCTTTAGCAATAGCAAGAAACACTTCATCTTCAGGTTCCTGAAAAACAAAGAGACAAAAGTGATCTACTAAGAAGTATTGGACTATTCTGATTTAAATTATTCTTATATTCCTTTTCTCTGCCATTTGGGGAAAAAAACAGGAATCAACATACACAAAAAGCTGTTCTGACGTTCCTAAACAAGACATCGGGCAGCAGCTGCACGATGATGACAGATATCTATTAAAACAGAGCAAGTAAGACTTTTCTCGCTTTTAAAACCAAAACATACTTCAGTGTACAGAGAGTCCTAAATACTACTGGGATTATGTCTCTGCCACACAGACTGCTCCAATACACACATATCCTTACTTGAACTTTCTGTGTTCGCATGCACAAAGCACTCATCAGACTCACGTCTGTTACTCAAACATTTCAAAATATTTAGATCAATCTGACATCTCTTTATCTCCCTCTGCCTCTACAATAAAACACCTGCATTACCATCAAGAGTAACCTCCCATAAGTTTAAGGGGACAGTGACTGCACTGAAAAGAGAACAAATGCTTTCTGCAGCAGCCAAACAAACCTGACTTAGTTACAGGACTAATGACTGGGGCTCTGCTAAACACCATCACTATGAAAGCTCACTGCAGCCCTGAAAGCAGCTCTGGGATGCAACGACAAAACATCACTCAGAAGCCAATACTGCTCTAGAAGGGAGGAATTTTCAGCCCACTGCATCACATGCCAAGATCAAGGAAATTTCACTACTGGAAATTTGCAGGGTAGGATGGCCATATTCCTAGGAAATGGTAAGGGTATGAAAACATTCCCTCCTCTGACAAAAGAATGCTGCAGGTAATCCTCCAATTCTAAATATTATTGAATTTTCCATATTGACTTGAACCTTTATTTTGAACTTTTCTTTAAGTACTTATGTCAAAATTTGTGATTACAGATGAAAAATTACAAATTAAGCTGGGCTAGAGTGAATACAAATAAATTAACTACAGGACGAAATCCACTTAGAAAGCTCCGTGGCTCCTTTCCTCATCTCCTATTTCACGGAAAAAAGAAAGAACCACATATTGTTTTTATCATCACACTACTAATTTACCATCACAGCACAGCCTTGTTTAACCATATGGGTGTACACTGTCAACAGCAGAGTATGTGCATTACCTGACAGAAGCCCAGGTCAGTTCAGACTAAGAAGAAAAGGAGGACAGTACACCGAAGTCTAGATTTAAAAACAAGTAATTTAAATATTTGCTGTAACTTGCATTAAGTCATTGCTTGTACAGGCTCTGAATTACCCTTGTTCCAGGAACATAAGAACCTATGAGCTACAATGAGATGATTTTCATGTCAGTGCTATAAAGAAACCGATGTGCCTTGAAGTACAAAAGTCTTGAAACCTAGCAGGAAAAATGCACAGAAGAGATCTTAATGCATAAAATCTTACGCAAGTACTTAGGGGAAAGAAAAAAGGACTTTGACTAAAATTCTTTATTTTATACTAGTACTTCTCTGTTTTTCATTCACCTTACTTGGTCTATCAACAAGCATTTGTGAGGTGACCTGCAGTTCAGTTTCTCACTGGTTTACAGTTTCAAGTTCAATAAAGTACTGTATTTAAAAGACTGTTAAAATCACACTGACCAATGGAAAAGCTACGTTTCGAGGCAATTTTCCTGATTCCAGCTGATGTATGCGGAGAAAAACATCAACCTGTGGGGTAGAATCATTAATAAACCGAATCACACGAAGAGCGTGGTGAATATCCCAGTACTGCTCCTTCCGGTACTTCATCACCAAAGCATGAGATTCGTGATGAGGAGGAATAATTCCTGAAAAAAAAAAGTATTTAAAAATATAAAAGAACAAAATATAAACATTTGAAAGGAGGAGTCCTAATTATTAATTTTTATACCTCTCTAGTTTTCAGTACAGTACTAGCTGTATATTTGTGCCCAGTTTCCATTTATTTTGAAAACAAATTCAGTGTAGAATGATTTTTATATACATTAGCTGCTCATTTTCTCAAATTCTACACTTTGTGTGAAATTACAGAGAATATATACATGCAATTAACTAATGCAAAAACACTGTTCACTGCAGTATTAATTACTTTACTGCCAGAAAAGTCTTTACTCACTGTACCAGAGATTAATTCTCCCTAAAATGACATTCAAAAAGCAAAATCAATCAGTTGAGTCAATTAAAGATTAAAACTTAAGAATGCCACATAGCCACTTGTAAAGTAACATTTGTAATTTTCTTAGCAGAACACAAATATCTTTTCTAGTTTTCTGGGAGAAAAAAAATTAAACATATCTAAGTAAAAAGGCCAAGAAAATTACACTGCATTTCCAAAAGAGATACTTACCATTTCACTTAATCCTTCCCCTTACTCAAGAGTCTTGCCATGCACTGATTTTCACAACAAAACTGTCACAGACTTCGATAGAAATAAAGACATACATACACCTAGGCAAAACAATGCCATTTCCCTATCGTTACAGGAGCAGAATCTTTCCCAGTGTAGAAACCCATGAGAACAAAGTATTCTTCAAAAGTCAGCTGAAACAAGCTACCTGCTCCTTTTACCTCTCATTTAAAGAAAAAAATATTCCTGCCAAGTGTCACAACATGAAATGATCAAGTTGAGGAACAAGCACATCAGACAGAAAATTATCTTTTCTTTTCCAGCTGCAAACCTGTCTGCATTTCAAAAGCTGGAAGAAAGCAAGACATTTTTCACAATATGCCAAGAGAAAGTCAACATCATAACTGTATGTACATATTGCCAACTGCTCTCCTCAAACACAGAGGACAACCTTAGGCAGCCAAAACGAAGCTGAAACAACAGAGGGGTGCCTGGAAACCATCATGATTCATCCTTGAACAGGAAGGTAACAGAGGTATTGCTGACACACTATGTCACCTGGGACATCAGCAAGCCTTGGTACATATCTGAGAGAGTTTTGTTGACAGGACAGACTTCCTTTTCTTAAATTATTAACATTATTTAGAGGGCATATAACACCTCCCACCAGAAATGGACTGGGCTGCGGTTCTGACCATTTAGGGAGAGATATTTTGCACTGCCCTTCTCAATACTAGATTTTCTAACAACTGTTAACACTGAAATGCAGTGTAAGGAAAGTCCCTGAACATCTGTTCACCCAAGGCATGTCATAAAATGAGAGTACGAATACTTTAAATCAGAATATCATGAGTTTGAAGGGACCCATAAGGGCCATTGAGTCCCCCTCCTGGCCCTTAACAAGACCACTTCAAAAAATCACACCATGTGCCTGAGAGCAGAGTTCCCTCCTTGGACTCTGTCAGACTTGTGCTGTGACCACTTCCTGGGGAGCCTGTTCCAGTGCCAAACCGCTCCTTATTCTGATATCCAACCTAAACCTCCCCTGAAACAACTTCATGCTGTGAAATGAATCACTCTGGGTTTAAAATATAAAATACTTTTTAGAACCAGTATCATTTTCTATGCAGTTGATTCAGAAGATGTTTTGTGTGATCATATGATTCACAGATCCTTTATCTAAAACAGCCCAAGACCAGGCTCTGCAGTGAGCCATAATTTTGCAAAGTATTGTATTTATTATAATGTTGGCTGAAGGATTCTGTACTGAGTTGCTTGTCCAAAACTGCTATGCTGTATTTCTCACTACTAATATTTTAAAGAATACTGACTACTTCACTAGTGCCCAGGGTACAGTAATATTTTTAATGGCAGAGCCTTTTATCAAGTAGGACTACACTGTAAGTTCAACACCAAGAACTTCAAGCTTGGTAATTAGATCTTACCCCTTCTGTGCACTGTTAATTTACTACTTTTGCCAAAAAAAGGCTTACAAATCCACATAATCAGGAATATGAAGCCACAACTTTCAAAACATAAAAAATTTGAGGGGGAAGCAATTAATTAAAAAATTAAGATTTTTTTTTAACTCCTCCTTCAATGTCTTCAAGTGGACATTATCTTGCATCTAGTCAACAAATGTACTTGAAAGTTAGTGCAAAGTCATTAGTACTTTTGAATTAGTCATCTGACTACTGCACTTCTAGGAAAATATAATCTATTTATGGTTTTTACAGTTTTTGGGGATACCATTAACTTGTCTTCAGCCTTGTATCTTCTTGGCAATATCTATTGGCAAATACAATTCAAACCAGCAGCAAAACCATAAGAAACCAATATTCTGCAGAACAAAAAGCCTCTCTTTAGAATAAACGTGTATTCCATGCTTCTCCCAGTTTAAAATTAATCACAACTTTACTTCAACTTAACTGTCTGTTATTTCAGGAGCACAACTGAATATCTTATCAGATATCGAAGACTTCTTATAATCCACATTTCAAATTCATTTTATAAATGTACTTGGATAGTGTTAGAAAGTTAAATACAGAAACACACTCTCCTAGGCATGTTTCAGCAAAGTTCTCAAAAACTTGTTTTATAATTGCCATTGTGCATCCAAGGTGTACACAAAAGTAGGCTAAATATATACCAGTAGGCAAGGTAATACAGAATAATCCTGTCATTACTTCTTCAAAGACAAAAAGAAAAAAAAAATTGCACCTTCCTACATTCTATATTCCATATTACGATTCATACCTAGAAGCACTTTCCACACCAGTATACGATACATGGATGGAAGAGGAAACCTTTGACTAAATGTGCAAAGCTTCTCAATATCTGTAAAGAAATGAAAAGAAAAAATATTCAGGAGAAATTTAAATATGGTTATAAACAGGTTTGTATCTCTGACCCAGCTAAATATGACAAACTCTAGTTGCAGATTGAAATTCCCTATTTCACCACATATTAACAAAAAATGTTTTCACTGCTTTCATGTTGGCCTGACTTACAGTAAAACCAATCCAGGTTTCATCAGGAGGAAACGACCAATTGTATAGGCATTTTGTAAAGCACGTCACTGTCAAAACAATTAAGGCCATTTTTAAAGGGACAACATTTATCTTTCTGTTCTGTCAGAGATGTGGCACTCCTCAGGGACCAACAGCAATAACATCTTCATTGCTTTGAAGTTAGATGGAATTGACAGCATGAGATGTTGCATTCTCAGATTAAAATTGCTTTCCCTAAAAATCTTTCTGTTTCTGGGCACAGAGAATGAGAGAAAGAAAAAAGAAAAAAACAAGCAAGCTCACAAACCTTTAATAGTTTTTAAAATCAGATTTCTAGGTCTTTGAAAATCAAAGGTCTGCTAGCACTAACTTAAGTATTATTGGTAAAAGATGCAAAACTTAAATAAATATTAAGCACAGTAGGCAAACATTTTTTATTACTCCCTCCCCAGTCCCTAATCACCAAAATATCGAGCAAATAGGGAAATCAACTTGCCCAAACGATCATCCTTTAACAGAATTTCCAGTGACTTCTTTTCTTCAACTCCACGAAATCCCACTTTTTCATAATACACTGAGCGGAAGTTTCTCTGAGAGTCATCAGCCATGACTGACTCCTTATGGAGAAACAATAAATTCCTCTGAAGACTTATAAGAATATATTCCTATTGCTTTAAGATCAAGTAATTTTGCACACTGATATAAATTTACTGCCTATGTCTCTACAGTATTAATAAACCCTACACAATATTAAAATCTTCCAAGATTTTTTTTTTTTGTCACATACTAGCATAAGCAATTATAAATGTAATCTATTCTAAACAAGGTCTAAAGATACCAACTTTACAAACAAAATTTAGGGATTTTTAAAAAATTATTTACATAGTAAATTATGCTAAATTTCAAAAAGCTTTTTAAAAAATTGTGGGAGAAGCACTTAAGTATTTTATGCCATACCCTGTACTTCAAAACCAACATAAAAAATACAGTTACAAGTCTGACAAAATTTTGACTATGAAAACCCTACTCAAGTAGAACTATTGCCCATGTAAGTAAATTTATTGGGTTTCTCACTCACCAGCCAAGGTAATCAGAAGCAAGGACAAGCCAGAGTTGGCCTCAGCGGCACAGGGGTGACAGGGAAGAATAAGGCTGGGTGTGTAAATTTCTTCTTAAGTTGTAGATACAAACTGAATGTTCATGTTGTTACCAGCTGCTGTAACAACAGCTATTCCAGCGCTAAAACCAAACAAATGTCTCATCCCTGTAGTGGAAACAAAGGTAAGTTCCAGTGAGTGCTTTGTGTGTCATAACAACTGCAAATGACATTTCAATTCAGTTCAATTCTCTATTAATCAATTCTCTCTCCTCTGTGACTGAATCAGTGCTTTCTGAGATAGGCCAACTATTATTTCAAAACCAAACAAAAAAGAAGTAAGTATTACTTGCAACACATTCCAGTCCTGCATGATCCTTAAGCGAACGACAGTGATATTCATGTATGGTGCATTTAAGGCTCCACTGATTAGAGCGCTCACTATTTACATTGCAGCCATGTCTAAAAGCAGACTTCAGATGCAATAGACACTGAACTACTTTTGAAAATTTTCAGATTTGCATTTTTAAGTACAAATTTTCAAAAGCTAGGTTCAGTAAGTGCTATTTATAAAAATAATTAAAAAAAAAAAAACCAAAAACAACCAAACATACGTCTAGCCCAGACCACTTGGGGGAAAATGAGAGGAGAGACATACAACAGGAACATTAATCACAATTTGAAAAATAAAAGCAGGACCTATTAGCCAGGAATATTATTTTAATAAATGTAAACTAGCACTATAATAGCAGTACATTTTATTTACTCAGTGGTAAAAGAAGAAAAATAGCTTGTTTCCTCCCTCACAAATTAGGATTTGTATTTTCAAATGACTAGTATTCCAATCTTTACACCGGTCTTCAATAGAGTGGAAAAAGAAAACGGGAAAACAAATCCTTAGCCAGCTCATTGGAAGTGTGCTGTACAGAAGTGTGCAATTAACTCGTCTTATCTTCAATTACAGCATTTTCGGCCTCCCCAGTGGCTTTCCCGATACCTCAAGTGTCACTCCAGGCGCAGCAGCCGCAGCGCCGCCCAGGCCCGGGGTGCGGAGCCACCGCGCTCTGCCCCCGACCCAGCTCCTTCCCCTCGCAGGCCCTGCCGGAGGCTCCCCGCACACGGCCGTACCTCGGGGCTCAATTCCCGGCCTCCGTCACAGTCCCAGAGGCAAACAAGGGCACATTTGGGCACGGGACCGACGCACCCGGCAGTTCAGACCCCGCCGCGCTCCCCCCGCCGCCCCCCGGCACCTCGGGCAGCGGGCGCGGCCCCAGCGCGGCGCGGCTGCGGCGCATGCGCGGGCCCGTCCCGCCCCGGCGGCGGGCGGAGCGCTGGGGCGGCCGTGGTGCGGTCGCTGTGTGGGGGTCGCGGTTTGTGCTGTGGGCGTCCCGCAGCCTGTCGGGGTCACCCGGTTGATCACGCACCGCGCCTGTTCCTCCCGCCACCCCGCACCTCGATCCCTCTGCTCTCAAAGAGCATCCATCCTCAGAGCCGGCTGCCCGCATGGCGTGCTGAGGGCTGCACCGCGTTGTTTGCTGTAATAATGGGCGTGCTCGGCGCTTTTGCCCCGTTCGCGGTGACTCCGAGGACGCGTTACTTAGAGAGACCTATGGGAAGCGAACTGCACTTCGCAAAACCGAGATTTACTCGCTTGTGAGTGAGTGAATCACGAGGCGAGGCGTTTGTGATCAAAGTACTGGGTGCTAAATATCCCGCCCTTCAAAACAAATAAGGACCTACATCTCACTGCTGAAAGCCTCAAAAATCAACCTGTGTTGCCAAATCTGGGGGACATCAAAGTAGTAGTGTGATTTTGATTCAGGGTTAGGGTACTTTCGTAGTTGTGATGTTTATCTCTGGGAGCCTGGCAGCCTCTCTGTGCGATGGCACAGACCGGGCCACTGCTCGCTGCAGGAGCAGAGTTTTCAGCTCGGAGCCCCTTTCCAGGAGCAGAAACCTGATCAAGTCCATCGAGTGCCTCATTTAGCTGCAGCAGGATTTTGAAGTGCTGGAATCACAGAGTCAGTTAGGTTGGAAAAGACCTTTGAGATCATTGAGTCCAACCTTTGACCAGACACCATCTTGTCAAACCAGAGTGCCAAGTTCAGCCTTTCCTAAAACACTTCCAGACACAGTGACTCCACCACCTCTCTGGGCTGCCCATTCCAATGTTTAGACACCCTTTCTGTGAAGAAATTCTTCCATATGTCCAACATGAAACTCGGGAGAGGAGGCTGACCCCCACCTAGGAGTCCACAGCCTCCCTGCAGGGAGTTGTAGAGAGCGATCAGGTCCCCCCTGAGCCTCCTTTTCTCTAGGCTCAACACCCCCAGCTCCCTCAGCTGCTCCTGGCAGGACTTGTGCTCCAGAGCCTTCCCAGCTTCATTGCCTTTCTCTGGACCTGCTCCAGCAACTGAGCATCAATTATTGAATTGAGGGTCCCAGAACAGGGCACAGCCCTCAAGCTGTGGCCTCCCCAGTGCCAGAGAGAGAAGACAAGGAGCTGCTGAGTTACGGGGCCTATTTTCAAATGCACAGAACATCCCATTATTTTAATCTTGCCCCACACTTTCGAAGTAGCCATGGAGAAAGCATGCTCTTGCAGAATGGGCAAGGCTTTTGTCAAACCCAGCTCACACAGGAGTATGTTTTCAGTTGCGTCAGTACAAAGCCTTGAAATAATTGTGATCTTGAAATAATTCCGCTCAGCAGCAGGTGGCAGGCTGGTTCCATTTTTGGTCACTAGCGGCTTCCTCAGCTCAAATACATCTTTTATCGATAGATGGCACTTGTCTCGGGATGAGAGCTGTTCGGTGGTCTTAGGAGCTAACCAGTACCACACGGTTCAGGAAGCAGCCACCGAAATTAAATCTCGTGTAATTTTCAATCATTCATTGCTGGCCTTGTCAAGATTTATTACATAGTGGTGCTCTGAGGAAGCCTGAAGCTAACACAATTTATTTTAGCATTAATTTATAGTAGAGGAGATACAAAATGTTAAGAGAATGTTATGCCATTGCTAAAAATGCCTAAACAAAATTAGGTTCCGAAAGATGTAGTTGCATAAAAATACAGCATAAAATCAACACCTGTCCTGAAAAACAAGAAAATGAATGTTCTTCCCCTAGTATAGTTTCTAAACCCCATAGATAATAAGCTTCTTATACACAGAGATTTTCTTAATGGTGCCTCTTTCTAACATAATAGGTTATAGTGAGATCAGTTGTAAATATTACATAAATATTTCAGTCAGTGGCAAATGAGTTAAAGAATTTAATTTGAGATTTTTCAAAATACAAATGAAATTAAAAGTGTAGGTTGAGCATGAACTGCTATTGACTACAACAATTATTATGTGGTGACACATCCACAGCAAACCAAAGATGATTAACCTATTTTTTGAGTTGGACTTTCTTACTCTAACAGCCTTTTTACCTTTTAACTGCCCTTCTACATCCACCTGCACTTGCCAAGTGACGCAGTTATATGCTGTAACTCAGTGTTGTAAAGCATACAAGTGGCTTATGACTTAAATATTTAATTTAAAACATTTTATATTTTCATAAACCAAATAATAACCTTATTTTCCCATGTCTAGGGACATGAAGTATCTTCATTCCTACGGAAAGAATCTCTTTCTTGCCACTGAAAATGAAAGCAGAATTTAATCATTTATAGCTGCTAGTGTCAGTCAGCCAAGTGGAGGACTGTGCTTATAATAAAATTGATTAATACATCATTAATCAATAATACATAACTAGGCATTTATCCAAATCATAATAACCTAAACATTTAATTCTTTTAGACTGCAATAACATCAGAAAAGGTAGCGCACATAAAAGATAAAAGGGAAGCAGGTTTGGAATTGGCTTGGGATTATCTGAGATAGTAGAGCCGAACAAATTAGTACCCTGCTAGCATACTGCATCTCTTGTTTTTATCTGTGACTATGAGTATTACTGTGCTTGCATTTTGTACTGATATCTTTATTTTGCTCAAGTGAATTACTCACTGACATAAAGGGTCACATGAGAAGGAAGCCAAACAGGCATTGTTAACATATTTTATTGCAAAATATAAACTGTGTTGTGCCTGTGTTTCTTCATGAATGCTTTTGCTGTTAAAGCTGCACTAATTTTCTGTGAACGATGTGCTGCTCTTGGACAGTCAGTCAGTCTGTCCTGTGTGACTTACCTATCAGTGGATCAGAATTACAGATCAGAAGCACACATTGTTATGTGAATTTCTCAAAAAAAGGGGAAAATGAAAAGCAATGAAATGTCAATTTTACACCATGGAGGTCCATATTTGTATGGCATTATGACACAAGGACATAACATACAAGGAATAAGTGAAGTTTTCATGTGGGTTTCATTTGCTGTAAACTGGTGGAAGATGTACTTTAAAAGAAAATCAATACACTTGTCTGATAATATTGTCACAGTGTATCAGATTCACTGATTCCAGCTTGCTAATGCACCATCCCGTGTCATAATAGGAAATGATTGATGCTCAGGAAAGAAGTTGAAAGCTGGGTCATTTCAGCTTTTCTGAGATATCATACCGTGTTTTTTCAGAAGCATGAATATTTCCAGATGGAGGGTAAGGCTGTGTTAATGGAAAGGACAATTTACTTATACATTCACATAACCTTTTCATTATGAAGATCGGCAGATGTGGAAAAGCCTGGCCCTGTTTCCTGGCCAAAACAGCATCACCCTGCTGTTTACATTCTACCTGAGAGAAGAATGCAAATGTTGGCACTATTAATATTCACATCTTAATTCCTTGTTGAGGTCAGATGGAAAAAATATAACACTCCAAGGTAAAAAATGATAAAGCTGTTTGGCATCAAAGGGAAATTCAGCCTTTCATTTTAGCATGGAGGCACAACAGGCAAGTCTGTCTCCAAGCAGACCAAACACTGTCCCTGTAATCATGAGCAGGCATCCCCACATGACAGCAAGGAAAAGGCTTACTGGGCTGAAAATAGCAAGAGGAGCGGCTGAACTTGGAAATCTGAGTTCAAATGTGTCCTACTTCTGTGTTTTCTCAGTCTGCTAAAGAAAGAGTGTTCTTCAGAGGTGACATCGTTTTGTCTGCAAAAATATACAGAAACTGCAAGACAGTTATGAAGAAAATATCCAACTTCTGTTGCTTGCTCCAAATATAAATGTTTTTTTTTTTAAGATTATGTTAGCAATTTTTTTAGGATGATGTCTTCTGGATTCTAGCAATAACTTTGATTTGTTGTGTAACCTCAGCTGTGCCTGCCCTAATTATTCTTCTACCAACCTGATTAGTAGCTGCGTTAAGATTGCCATTTTTGCCTGAAAAAGGCTTGCATGTTTTTAAATAGCACCAAACACATGCTTTGTGCTGTCAGTGAGCATGGCACATTTGGGGCACTACACAGTAACATTTTGTTACTCTTACATTGAGAACAGAAAAGGAGGTGACAATGAGACAAACTTTGGTCAGTTTTAGGACAGTGGGAAAATTAACTAAGTCATCTCGAGCATTCCAATGAAGAGTTGTGCTATTTGGATAAGGTATAGTTATTGTGATCCCTATATAGGGTTAAAGGTGAGGCAAAAATATGTGGGTATCTGCAACAAAATGCAAAACTAAGTAGAAATTAGGAACAGGTTTCTGTTGTTGCAATTTTTCTCTTTGTACCAAAGCCACAAATGTGCCCAGAAGCCAGTTCAAGGTAACAAGCTGCATATGATGATTAGATTATATTTTCCTCACTCAACCAAGTATCCCTGATTACAGGAGTGGTGCATGTCCCATCCCTGAAAACACTGATTGTCAGGTTGGATGGGGTGAGTTTCCTCATCTAGTTGAACGTATCACTGCTCTTTGTAGGAGAATTGGTCTAGATGAGCTCTACAGGTCCCTTCCAGCCCAAAATATTTTATAATTAAGCTTTGCACCCCATTTCTACCCTCCTTGGCAACAACCTGTGCCAAGAACAGCACCCAAGTAGCTGCCAGCAGGTTCAGCGACAGAAACAAATTCATAGGCTCATCCTGATGCCTAGGCTCAAAGGCAGGAGCCCAACCCAGCAGCTTCACTGGGATCACTGATGGAAGGGTGAAAGGATTGGATCCAACCAAAGCAACCCAGCAGACACAGCACTTGTACCTCCAAGGAATAATTTGTCATTTAATTGTTTTCTTTCAGGAGCCTGCCTGCCCAGGGGGAGGGCAGTCCTGTGCACAAGCAGTCTTTTGATCTCAGTGAAGCTCAGAGGGCTTTGCTAGTGCATC